TAAAGCAGTGGGACGAACCACCTCGATACCAGGTGGACGGACGCACTGCATCCATCAGCTACGATCTCAGGTGTGGTGAGACGTGTGTGATGCAAGTGAAGGGACTTTTGAGAGGACACTAAGGAGAACAGCAATGCATGGTAATACAACGTTAATATAGTTAACATAAAAAAAAAACAACAACAATAAATTACAGGTGAAGGAATGAAAGACTCAGGACTGTACCGTTACGCAGTCAGCTCCACAGGCTCCACAGGCTCCATGTGGCAGAGCTCTGTGAGGTCCTGTGTGAGCTACTCGTAGACATAAAGCTTCGTCTCTCCACCTCTTGATGCAACAAATTGTTTTTTGTTCAGTAACTGCAAAAGGTCTCATTTCCACTCCAAAGTGAAACCATCACGAGCACCGTGGCACCGACGACACCTGGCATCAACGTAACTTGTGTCAGAAAAAGCTTTTCAATCCAGTCCTGCAAACACTTTGAAAGGACACTTATGATAAATGAGCTCGCTCTAAAACTAAACATAGCGCCGGATGTGGCAAATATGGTCCACTGTGGAAATAAAACAATCCAGAAAAGGCTAGAAGCAGCTTGGTAAGCAGTGGACAGTAGTACATGAACCATTTAGGTGTCCCAGTGTGCTGACTTTCAAATAAAACAATTAGTATGAGGTGAATGAGTTTATATCCATACAGGAAGTGTAATCATATCATATTTCCAGCTAGAGGTGGGGCAGTTGTTGCACTGCTCTGCCAACACTGACACTGACACGCCCAAAAAAACTCATCCAGTCAGCACTTAACCCTCAAGGATATTGCTTGATTTCAAATCCAGTGTACTGTGGTCAATGTGTGGAGGAAAAACACAGTACAAATGCAAACTGGTGCACAGAGCAGCATGTAGTAGCAGCCAGGGTGTGATTCATGTTAATGCCAGGTGCTGTACGGTGCAGGGACACTGGTACGGTTATCTACTGGTGTGTGCTCTGTTCCAGTCAACAAATCATTCATCATATCAAATAGTCGTACAAAACACCAACGTTTGTGTTAAAAAAAAGAAAATCCTTTTGAAGATTAGTTTTTCTGAAGTATATATATACATATATATATTTATTTATGTATAAAAAACTGACCAGTTTTACCCTTTTGAGTTTTCCCAAATCAAAATAGCTCATTCTGACTGATAGGTTCGCCTGTAAACTGAGGTTGGCGGTGATGCTTCTCCCACTTCCACACTGTCAGAGTGTCCCTTCTGTGGTACGTTGCTCCTGCTTCAAATACTGAAGTTATGCTTGTCCTGTAGTGTGAGGAGGAGGAGGAGGAGGAAGAGGAGGAGGAGGGCTGGTGGGTCCAAAGTGTTCTGAGGAAAAGCCGTAAGTATGCAGCTGGACAAGGCCTCTGGCACGTCCGTTCCCAAGTATTTTCCTGAGTTAAATCCATGCATAGTAGTGGCGATGACGATGAGTGTGTCAGTGATGACAGAACCGGCTCGCTCTCACGCCCACACAGTCACTCCCAGACAAACAGTTAGTTCATTGTTCGCCGGCCCAAAAAGCTCCCTAGTAGTTGAGGAGGCGCTCCCTTTCTGTGCCGGCGTAGCGTTTGTTAGCAGCAAACACTTTGGCTTTGTTCACCGATGGACCTGTGAAAAGAGTCAGAACGTATTAGGAGGAGCATGAACCGGCTTCACATCGATGTTTAGATCCTGTAACAGCTCTTCTCTACTGACCTATGTAGCTGAGCAGGACAGGGAGGAAGATGAGGCCGTGTGTCGCCCCCAGCAGCACGATGGCCAAGTACATCCTGAAGTAGAACACCTGGAAGATCTGGGACTTGGAAAGCGCCAGGATTAAGATACCGCCAAACTTTGTTAACGTGATCCCACTGAACACCTGCAGGACGCAAACAGGATCAATAAATGTCACGTTAAGTGACGACACCTCACATTGGACCTACTGTACAACTGATTAAACATCTAACTGTACTAAACTTGACCTTTGTTAGCTCCTGCAGATATGTATAGTTCACATTACCAGCAGGTCGAGGTTTACTTAGTCACTTCCTCTTGTGAATTTGATAAGAGGTGAAGCACACTTACGGAGCTTCCCATGTGAGCCAGCGCCTCCTCGGCCCGCTCCACTCGGTTCCTCCTCACGCTGATGGAAAACGCTCGAACAATATGGCTGCAGAACTCCACGGAGATCCCACAGCTCTGCAGCAGAGGAGACGGCACCAGAAAAAAGTGAAAATTGGGAACCGAAAGCAGACATAAGTGAAGTTTGCATTTGCTCCCCTATGCAGAATATTCTGTAGGTGGTATCAGGAAGAAACGGTGTCTTGCTGGTTGCCAAAACCATTTCCAACATTCTGACTTTGCTCGAACAAAGTCCATAAAGTGAAGAATCAGACAACCTGACTCAATCTAAACACATCTGTACGACCCAAATGCAAAAAAAAAAAGTCCAAGAATTACACATAATGAACAATAGGTAGTATTAATTAGAATCAAGACACCAAATACTTTATTACATTTGAGAGCATACCTCTAATTTAATGACCAAATTTGCAAATTAAGGTGTTGGCAAAACTAAAGTGAAGCTACTCAAAGTCAAAGCAGGTAAAACATCCAATTAAAAACACCTGCCATGAAGTCATCTCATCTTAGAGTCGATTTAGTAGCTTTTTTTCTCACTACTTTTCAACAATGATCGACTTTCAAACAGGCAATAGTTGTAGTAAAATGTTAAAAGTTGACATTTATTGGCAAAATGTTCCAGTCTGTCAGCTGCTGCTTCTCTTATCGATGCTGTTGGATCAGGAGTCGGCAACCTTCAACACTCAGAGAGCCGTTTGGACCCGTTTCCGACAGAAAGGACAACACCAGAAGCCACAAAACCCTCCTGATGTCTAACATGAAGAGAACACTGCACATATCGTTGTTTGCTATGTGTAAAAACTAGAGTGTGTTTGCATTGACGAAATCAATGAACTACTACAGAGGAAACTACATTTTATTGCTGCATGAAACAAAAACATTTTCAACTCAAAAAAAAAAAAAAAAAAAAAGCTGCTGGGTTGAAGGTTACTTTCAAATAAAATACTCAGTGTCTATTTGAGTCCTCCTTGTATGTATGAAATAAAAAGCCAAACTTAAATCTTCCACCTGCAGCAAAGTAAAAACATCTGGTTGTCCTGCTGACTGCAGCTGGGACCGCTGACCAGACTCCTGACCGCCTGTGAGTGCTTTGGGACGGGAGGAGCTCACGGCAGCTATCTCTAACCCTTTACCGAGAAAATCCCAAACCCCAAACCCGACCCCTGTTCTTACCATGACCAGGTTGACCAGGGACACTGCGTTGAGGCTGATGCTCCACAGCCACATGACGCCGAACATGTTGACCAGGATCATGGCGATGGTGATGCTGACGATCACCGCCGACCACAGCTCGAAGCCCAGCAGCACCGTCGTCACCACGAAGATGGAGGCCAGCGACACGCTCAGGTTCAAGGCCGTGTCGTACGCGATGGTGAGGTACTGCTCGTAGAACACGTAGAAGACGCTGCAAAGGAGGGACGTCTTCATTAGTGAATCAAGAAGAGGGACAAGGATGCAGTTAATCTGTGCAAAATGTACCTAACCAATCAGCTACTGCATTCATTCATGCTTTCCAACTAACTCTGCATCTACAAAGCACATCTTTGGTGAATACTGGATTCTGCCTTCACGTCAGAGGTTGTGATCTACATAAGTGGAGGCACAACTTCTCTGTAACACAGGGTGTAGGGGGCAGGAACATTAATTCAGTACTCGGGGTCAAACATCGGCTGCATTGGCATTTACAACGTTCCCTCTGCCGTGTGCTTATCAATGACATACTTTTCTCACAGCGATACCCTTGAACCTTGAGCTCAAAACAAACAAACGCTCAGTTAAAAGTGTAAACGTACACAGAAAACCCAGAGCACGGCTGAAACTGGGACTGCTTAATTCAAAACCAGCTCCGTTTTACAACTATAACATGATTTATGCAACATAAACCCCTTGAAACTCCAAAACCTCTGATGAATTTTAAAGGCAGAAAAATATAAAAATGTATCAGAGCTAGAAAGTAAAAAAAGAAAGAAGCCTCAGGTTTTGCTGTTTGATCTGAAAACTGGACAAACTTGAAGCTCAAACTCGTGATCCTGATCCTGGAATCGTCTCTGATGATTGACCACACTCAGTGGCACTCGGTGTTGGTGGTTGATGGGAACTCGACCGTCCAAAAGTCGTTTTTGTAACCACAGAACAAACCTTGACCTTCGTTCTGAGGCCGTCAGTGACCAACACACACACTTTGTTCTGCTGCTGAATATCGAACTGACTGAAATATTACCAACGAAGACGCGGTCGTCTTGAAACTTCAGTCTGTTTGCACAATTAAAGGCTGTAAGTGATGAAGACTGAATCAGTCATTGTGCTCGAGATGCCGTTTGTGATCAGATTTTCTCAAGCCTTTCTGAATGCACACAATATTTCCTTCAAGCAAAATCATGTATTTAATCCTCTGAACCCCAAAAGGCAAAAGAAATCCCCCAAATTACACCGTTTGTGAAAACAGAAAAAATAATTGTTGGATTTTTTTCCCCCAACATTCGTCAAACCGCAACTCTGGTCAGATCTAAATCTAAAATCATAATACTTCATTGAAAACACTTTGTCCATGTACTGTGGAAAAAGTCTTGTTTAAAAATGTACCAAATATAAACCGTTGGCTTTAACCAGAGTCTGTGGAAAACTAAAAAAATCTGCGCTACTTGGTACAAATGGAACCTTATTAGCAGTGGAGGGCCGCGCATTTTCCTCCTTCAATAGCGTCCTGCCTCAATAAACCACCTCTTAACGCCGTCATTGTGATGCCACGGTTACAGAAACCATCAGCATGATGCAGAAAGGCAGCGTAACAGGACGTTGCACTGCAGACAGGGATCTGATGTAGCCAGAATGAATGCCATCACTGAAGCAAGAAACAGCTAAAACAATTCAACACGTCTCCTTTCACATCTGGCAGGAGCATCAAGATTAACTGGATAAAATTAAACTGGATAAAATTCATTTTACTCACGAAAACCTGTGATTATTTGAACACAAAATCCACCCTCTTTTCCTTAAGTTTAGTTTTAACTGGCTGTAGGGCTGAGAATGTCCGCTAACTTAACAAAAAAAACAGCTACTAACACTTTTATGATGAAGTTTTATCTTGTGCAGGTCGCTACAGATTCGAACCGCTAGCTTTGGCTGAGCTCTCTAACCGCCCAATCAGAGGACGTGAAGGTGCTGATGTCATCGTAGGCCAGCTAGCTGACCCTGATTGGTTGAAGCAACATTGTGATCCATTTTACTTTTTAATCTGAAGGCCTCGGGGCAGATTTCTGTGACCCTGGCAACACATTACGAGTAAAATATGATTGGATAACAGCTCTGATATAAACATACGCTGCTGGAGGCACCACAGCCCAGAAACACGCTATGAATGAAGAGAACAGACTGTCAGGAATGAAGTTAAAAGTCTGTGATTCTGTTGGAGTTCAGGCCAGCAGAGAAAGCCTCGCTGGCCCTGACCGTCTGCCACCAGTTATTAGTGACTCAGCTGTGATCAACAGCTGCGTGAGAGAAAATCAGGAAGTGTTGGGCTGACTTGCTCTCACTGTTTGCACAACCCACAGAGTAATATCCTGATGTACTGATCTACTTTAGGGCATTGCTGTTTTGTTTCCAGAGAGACAAAAGAGTTTATATTCCTGTTAGAATGAGCCCACAGTGAGCAAAAAAATTAAAACTATGCAAACTACACACTGTATGACGGTAAAAGCTCTCTGGGCAGTGGAGCAGGACTCACCTGTAGGCAAACACTTTGTGGTCAATGGACTGACTGATGTTTTCAGCCAGGACTCGAGCCATTCTCAAGGCGTCTATAAAGTCCGGCGACTCCTTCAGGATGGTGTGGTAAGTCATGAAGTAGGTGGCTCCCACCCCCGTGTTGTTGGGATACAGGTCGACTGCCGTGGCGTAGGCTGCATGGCCGCTGGAGAGAGAAAGCAAAAGGACGTCACAAACCACAACAGAACCGATACACGATGGAGGAATACTTCTAACCGCACGGAAATGCAGAAGTTAGAGGATTTAAAAACAGGTTACGCGTCTTTAATAACAGCCTCTAAAAGGAAGACGTGGACAGAGCTAAGGCGTTACCCTTTGCCACACTTGACGTTGGGATTGTCCGACAGGAACATGGGCAGAAACCGCATGAAGTCTTGTCCTTCAGGTCTCTGCTTTCCACTGGGAGTCATGGGCCGGCAGGGCATGCAGGACGGGTTCACCACTGGAGGAGACATCAGGCGGACAGTAATCCATGTTATCAGTGGGTTTGGAGGAGAAAATACTGAATAGACGAGTAAATATGTGAACATACCTGCTGACTACTGCACATACAGATGTTACACTGCTCCTCATTCAGTGCCTTTATTTATCTATTTTATCTAATTTTTTAAAATATTTTTTCTCTCTTCTAGATTTAGATTTATATTGTTTGGCATTTGTTGTCAATAGCAAAAAGATATATAAAAATTAATAACAGGAAAATTACATATGACAATAAACACTTTAAATCTTGAATCTTACTTTGCACTCGTCACTCCTGTGATTATTCCCGTGGATATTTTTGGGTTTTGTATCGACACATTGTTGTTATTTTCACGCACATTTGCAAAATAATGTTATTGCATAACTGCATTTTATTTTAAATATGAAGAACTCGATTGCCATTGGATGAAGACGTACCCGAGGCGTTGCAGAATTGTCCAGAGCTGTTGTAGTAGCGACAGCAGGTCGACTGAGGCTTCACCCAGTCAAAGTAGTCGTCCAGCCAGGAGGACGGTGTGTAGGCAATGGTTGTGCTGGGAGCGAAAGAAAAAGTGAAAGTGAGTAGATCATACGGTCACATTAGATGATCCCTATTGTAACTTCATAAACTGTAAAAGACATAAAAACATAAACCTTTTTATTCTCACTGTCTGACATTAAATCAGACCAAACTTTTCCTGTTTCAGGTCAGTCAGGATCACCAACATTATTTCTATTTGCTAAACGCCAGAATAATGAGAGAGAGGATTTTTTTATTACTTTCTTTCAAGTCAGAAGTTTACATCCACTAAGATGCCTTCAAGCTATTTGGGAAAGCCCAGATGATGATGTCATGGCTTTGGAAGCTTCTGATTGGTTAACTGACAACATCTGAGTTACACCTGTGGATGTATTTTAAGGCACACCTCAAACATGCTGCTTCCTTTTGTGACAACATGGAACATCTAAAGAAATCAGCCAAGATATCAGGAAGAGAACTGGAGAACATCAGTGGAGCAAGGAGACCAACAAACCTGACCCAGTTCCACCAGTTCTGTCAGGAGGAATGGGCCAGAACTCATCAGACTGTTGTGAGAAGCTTGTGGAAGGAAACCCAGAACATTTGACCCAAGTCATAGAGTTTAAAGGCAACGCTAGCAGATACTGAGGAGATGGATGGAAACTTCTGACTCTGAAGAAAGTAGGAAAAAATCCTCTCTCTCATTATTCTGGTGTTTAGCAAATAGAAATAATGTTGGTGATCCTGACTGAGCTGAAACAGGAAGAGTTTAGTCTGATTTAATGTCAGATAGTGAGAAGAAAAAAAGGTTTTATGTCTTTTTATACAGTGGATGTAAACTTCTGGTTTCAACAGCAGGCATGTTGTAATTTCAGGTATTTAACTATCAAACATCTTCTCAGTTCTATGTGGATGGAAACCTTTCATTTCTCATTCGTAGCACAGACTTACTAGTTGCTCATGAGCGAGGCCGTGTAGACCTGCTGGACCAGGGAGTCGTTGTTGCAGCCCACCCCTCCACACACAACGTTCTGGCCCTCCGGACTGCTGTAGTTCAGACCGTCCTCCACCACAAAGTACACTGGAGCTCCGGTGTGCAGATACTCGCTCAAGTTCTTGAAGTAGTCCAGCACGTACGAGTCCTAGATGTGAGAGACAAACTGTCAGAAGTGGGAAGCAAGCCGTAGCGACTATGCATGTCATACAGCAAGTGTGCTGCAGAAATTAACTGTTGGGGGAATTCAGTAATCACACCCCATGACATGCAACTAATTTAGCTTCCTGGATGACTGACGAAGCACTTTAAATCCACTGCAAAGTAACTGACAACACACACTATTACTACAAATACTCAAAACATAACCACTGTGAAAACTGTGAACGTTGGACTTACGTCGGGCATGGATAACTTCTGGTCCAGTCCAATCTCCACTTTATTCACCACCGCAATGCTGAAGGAGAGCATTCCCACAAACACCGCCACCTACACAGAATAACATGATCAACATAACATTCTCCTCAGTCAAGTCCAAACCGGTCTGCCAGCACATTACCAGCCGGCAGATGTGCACGACTGCACCGAGGTACTTACTATGATCGGTCGCACCCACTCCTTCAGGATGAATGGGGCAAAGACTTTCTTGAAAAAACGGAAGAGGAAGCCATCTGTGTTGGTTTCCTGGCCCTCTGGCAGTTTCACACAGCAGATGATGTCGAGTCGATTCTCCTTTTTAAACACAGGAGACGGCACAGCGTTTGAAAAGTCTCTTTGACTATTAGTGGCTGAAGCTGTGACTAAGCTGAAGGTTAAAGCAATTAAACCGCGTATTCAGCCTCACGTCACTGAAGCTCAACGGCACTGCAAACACTCACTGAACTTGGACATTTCACTTATTTGCAATCAACCAGAGAGCAGAACCGATCAGCTGAATTAGACAGAGCAGTGATTGGAAACTGTCTTCTCGTAACCCTCATAGTCTGAGCATCTGTGACCCCTCCAGCACCGTCACCGTCGTCTCCCCTCACCTCCTGTCTTTTGGCGTCCAAACCCAGCAAGCTGACGAAGCAGCTGATCTGCAACAGGAAGTCAATGAAAACAGCCAGGCCAGCGAACATGGAGAAGGTCCTGACTGCAGGCATGTTGGACAGGGCTCCTAGATAAGAAACAGAAAGGAGAATGATCAGCATGTGACTCACCAGGACGCTGTGGGACACTTGTGGCCGCTGTGTCATCTATGTGAGCACAAACACACCCGATGAGTCTGAAAGGCGAGTTATCTTTAATAAAACAAAAAAAACAACAGAGCTGACGCTGTAGAAACAGAATCAGATTCTGTGACGGGCAGTTTTCTCGGGAAAATCAAATATAAAAGTCAAATATTTGCCAAAACAAACAAAAAACATCTGCATTGACCAGATAAAGAAAAAAGGAAAATAAATCTGCATTCCTTTAGTAACTCAGCTTCCACTGACACTAATGCAACAAGAATTCTGAGGTTCTTCCACAGAAGTGGGTCAAACAGCAGGCAGATAAGGAATCAGATTAAATATGTGTAAACACACAACATGTAATATGTGGAAATAATAAAACATCTCAGAAACTAGTCACCATTATTCCCAGTATTGATCACAACCTGTACACATTTGAACAATGTTTTGGATTTCCTTTTTTTTTTTTTTAACAAACTTGAACAATAAAGCCGATTCTAAAACTGGCGTGCAGAGGCGCGTACATAAGGTGCGTTAAAAAGTGGATTTATTTTACCCAGGAAGAAGGCCACAGTCTCAGAGAAGGAGGAGAGAAACATGCTGGGGGCTACGTCTCCCAGAATGCGACCGATCTGCTGGTGGATCTCTTCCTGTGGCATTCGCTCGTCCCTCTGTTTAAAAATGGAAAATCTGATTTAGTAAAGTTTTACAGGGAAGTGGCAGCGAGAAAATCTAATTATTTTTTAGAGAGTTTCCAGCAACAAAGTTGTCATGATTCAACTAAATAATATATAAATTATAGGTACTAATGATTGAGGTGTACGTGAGTCCTACATTATATCAGCGAGTCATTGTGCATCAGTTTATTGGGACTAAAGGGTTCACCTGGTACGTCTGCACTATAATGAAGATGTTGTCCACGCCGACAGCCAGCACAAGGAAGGGAATGACCTCGATCACAATGAGCGTGAGCGGGATGCCGGCGTAGCTGAAGATGCCCAGCGAGGAGGACACAGAGCTCAGCACGATCAGGATACCTGCTATACCCAGAGAAATCTTAGAGTCCACCTGTACGGGCAGAAACAGAGAGAATCCGTCATCCTAATCCCTCAACGGCTGCCGTTCATGCATGAGTAGGTCAAAGCTGTCGAACCGGTTGTTCTGGTTTGATTGCATCAGAGTGAATTCAAACGTTCTGATGTCACAAGCAAACGAGGAACTACACAAGTTAAGTGTCAAAGTATTTCAGGCATGACTGACGCCTACGAGCACATGCCTGGAACAAAATGACACGCTGAATAGAAATGTTAATGGAGCAGAGTGAGGACTTCATCTATTACCAGGAGCCTCCTGAAGCTCTGGATGTGACCCAGAGCCAGAGAGACGTAGACGAACATGATGGCGTAGCTGATGACGATGGTGCTGATGTCGCTGTTGCTCTCCCTCTCGATCTCGTCCTCGATGCTCCTCTCTGACGTGAAGGCCACGGTCAGGTTGGGGTTTTGGAAATTCTTCATGAACCGGATGAATCTGAAACAAAAGCACAGTTAGTACACACACACGAACAGTGATGTTTGCTCAGGCTAGCTCGCTGACTGATCGTTGTCTCACTCTTTTTCCCACGCCAGAGCTTTGCCTTGTCGGACCGAGTCGTCCAGGTAGTTGTTGAGCGGGAAGGTGATCACGAGAGCAGTGGCGTTGTTGAAGTTTGAGTCTGTAGTGTGGAGAAAAAAAAAAACAATGGAACAGTCCTCATTTATCAGCCACATTAATTAAGTCTGTTGAACTGATGGTTGCTTTTTAGAATTCTTTTTTAAGCAGCACAGATAAAATCTGTGGTACAGCATGGTTCCTCTTTCTAAAAAAAAAAGCATCACGGTTGGTTGCATCTCCTGTGATTTACTCGAGAGAGAAACTTTTAAAAATTTGTTTTCATTTACGGGCAGCATTTCTAACAGCACACATGCATCTATTTGCTGCATTAAATCAGATATAATATATATATATATATATAACATGTAGAGATATAGGAGACATAATGATCTAATAAATACTTGGCTAATGCAAAATTACTACCAGATGTATTAACGCCAAACTTTGAGTAAAAAAAAATTAATAAAAATTTGGATGGTGAGGCACTAAAAAAAGAATAAAAGATTCCCTTGTGCAATAGAAGAATTACCAGATGAGCTGTAAATAATAATATAAATATAAATGTAATAATGTCACTACTGCAAATGAAGAACTCCCGTTTTTGTTTTTGTTTTTTCCCACAATTTCTGTGTCCACCTACAAATGCTGAAAGAACCATACCAGACATCTCTGTACAATAACAACACTCCAGCATTCAACATTTATTTGTATCCAATATGATTTTTATCATGATTTTCTTTCCAACTAGTCTTCTAGAAATAAACACACCCACTTCAAAACTCACCATCGTAACCCCCCAGTGCCAGCCAGGGGAAGACAGGCCCGCCGAAGGTGCCCAAACAGGGATCGTGGAGGACGGTGGTATCGTTGAGGGACGCCGGTGCGCTGCAGAAGGAAAAGACAAACTGAGTTAAAAGTCTTATTGCTTGAACAAACAAACAAGGGTTTCGCCACAAGCCGTGTCTTGTTATATTTAATATGAACAGATAAACAACCACCTGACACATGACAGCTGATGAGGAAGTTTGAGTGTGCTGTTCTGAGAAGACACTTTCCCCAAAGCTTTTTTTAAGAAGCATCTCAAAATAGATTCTCGTGATGTGCAGGTGTCGCATGTTGCTGGTAACTGTTCACTTGGTTCCAGGAGGTTTTGACCTTTTTACTGTACAACTCTAAGAGAACTGTGCTACCAGTGAAGATGTCCAACCACATGACAACCGACTTATTTGTAAACACGAAAAAAAAAAGAAGGAAAGTGAGGCAACTTTAGAAAAATCACCTGACACAGTAGAGGAAATGGCTGTGAAAGTCAGCGTAGACATAAAACTCGTCTCCTTTGCTGTGGTCCAGCACGGCGTGGCTATTCTGGAAGTAGTTCAGGACACTCAGGATGGTACAGTTGTTGTTGTACGGGGCCAGCGGAGCCAAGCAGATGTCCTTCAGGGTGACGTTCTGGCCCTCGTATGTGGCCACGATGCTTTCGATGTCCAGCTGCAGATCGAGCACCTGGTTTGTTGAGGTTAGAGAAAACAACAGAGTAGAAAAAGAAAGAAGAACCTTTAACCACAGTTTCAGAGACACAGCTGCTCTTCACAATCAAATCATATGATCTGGGGAGAAACAACACTTCTTTGTACACACCGGCTCTAATGACAGATGTACCGCTCAAACGGACCCACCTGGTGCAGGATGTCTTTGCTCAGAATGGCTCCGAACGGGACATCTGATCCTCCAAAGTACGGGGAGTAGATGAAGGTGTCGTTGACCGGAGTGGTTATAATGAGCTGAGTAGTTCTGAAGAAAGGTCCGAAATGTTCGTCAAAGTAGTTCTTCTCTTGGCGAGCCTGGCTCATGGGAGACGACCACAAGTCGACGGGGTCTGTGGTGATGCGCATGTAGACCAGGCCCCCCGAGGAGGCCCCCACCAGCATCAGGCTGCCCAGGATCACCAGACACGGATGCCGCACACAGAAGGAGCCCCAGCAGCTGAAGAGGGTCCGCAGGGCGTTCTCAAAGCGTTCCCCCAGCGTTTCACAGCACGACGCGTTCACTGCCAGGAGGAAAATACAGGAAGCTCATTTAGATCTTGTGACAAAGACAGAACGATGTAATTGCTTCTATGCAGCTGTATGTTGTGCACAGCTGTACCCTGGTCGGGATTATCACTGTTGAGAGACAGCGGGTTGTTGCTGTCCAGAATGGGGCCGTACTCGGACAGGATGGTCCTTCTCCTGCAAACACAAAGACGCACACGAGGCAGTTAGACATTAAGAACAAAGCTTAGAATCTAAATATGTTTGTATATCACAGTAGTGCACGTTCCATCACCTGTAACACCAAGCTCCGACCACAACGCCAATAAAGATCAGCAGGAAGGCCGTGTAAGAGATCCACATGATGACCGTCATGGCATCCATACCGAGGATAGTCCAGGGAAGGGGGAGAGGAGGAGGTTCAGGTTTGGGGCCACAGGCTTTTGCGCAGTCCTGACAGGAGCAGGGACCCGAGCCGTCCTCCAAGCCCTCGGTGCAGTCGTATGTTTTGTTGTTCATGGGCGTGTACCCCGACACCGGCACATCTGGAGTAAAGAAAGAGCACGACACAGGAGACAGGTTAGCTACCACAGAGTAACAGATGTAGCACAGCTGTTAGCTAAAAATGTTGATCAGCCTTTTACTACCACAAAAAAATGGTTTACCAGAGAATATCGGGATGATGGGAAAGGGAGTCTGTCCGTTGTCGATATTGAACATGTACTGGATCCAGTTAGTGGCGTTGCAGTCCTTTGCGTCTTTGCCACACAGCAGCGACAAGGCCTTCACGTTGCTAGACGGCGCCTGGACATCCCTACAGGCGTTGTACATGGCTGGGAGAAGGCAGATCAGATCACTGTCAGACCATTTGGTCACACTGTCCAATCCGCCTTTTTTTTTTAAAAATTCTCCTCAAACTGTAGGAGTCATGACCATCAGTTACCCACAGAGTTACAAAACTCACCGCATGACTTCATGTTTACGTAAGGAACTGATAAAGTTCACTCAGCAGATTTTTTTGCAAGCCAAATATGTCAGTTATTACAGTACTTTGAGACGTTTGCTCTCAGATTTACACTTGGAGAAGTCATGAAAACAAATCGATGAAGATTTTTAAAATCTAAACCGAGGTCTGGCTGAGAACTCACCGTTAGCAAATGTTTGTCCGATGTAGTACTGCACTTCCACCACGTTGGAGGCATTGAACTTGGTGGCGTTGACAAACTGACTCTGGTGGGGGCTGCACGTCAGCTCACAGAAGAGGTTCATCAGGTTGAAGAAACAGGCCGGACACCTGACAAAACCAGAATCGTAAAGAAAAGAAAAAACAAAACGACGTGATTGTGTAACTTCCAGAATAATAAAAACGAGTTACATTTTAAAAGCTGCAAATAAAAAACACGGCAATAACAAATATGGTGAAAATGTCATGTCGGAGTCAGAATCCAAGGCTGTCGGTGTGTTAAGGCTGTTTTTATGGGTTCTGTTCGTTTTTCTGATTGTTAAGGGTCGGATCTTCGAGTCACGGCTGTATTTGGGTCTTTGGCTTTTGAGTTAGTTCGTCTCCAACTTGCTGTTTGAAACACGCAAAGCTCAGACTTGCATGTTAGAACAACAACATTAACACCTCAGCAGCACACGGTGACAGATGTAAGAGCTCAGACAGTCCACCGTTTGTGCTCCGGAGCGGGATGATAGCGCGTCTTTAAGCATGTCATGTGCTTCATTAGCTAACGTTATAACCTCAGTGCATACCGGGAGAGGAACTGAAGGGGCAGCTGGAGACTCCCTTGGAGGGTTCGCAGCTGGGCAGCGTCGCAGCAGAGACTTCGGTTCCCATAGTCGTATCCAGGACAAAGCTCCTGCATATAAAAAGGGAATAGCGTCACCTTGATACACTTTTATAGATTCTTCTGCAGTGAAAAGACATAAAGCACAGCTGTAAAGAATAAATAGATCACTGGATACTGGTTTGTGGCCAGACAATAAAAGGGAAACAGCATGAAGCTACTGTCTGTACCGTGAGCAGATGGTAATCTTCAGGATCTAATGGGCGAGGGGGACCGGTGTAGTTGCAGTTGTACTTTTTTCCAGGCACCTTTGCGGACTCTCCACACTCACCGTACCACACACAGTGCTGGGCCTCCACCTGATAGCAAGACCAGACAAACAGAGATCATTTGTGTTCACACAGCGAGCTGAATTTGCCTACGCTGGTTTGCATACGTTTATTTCTTCTGTTGAGTCATGTGGAGCTTTTTACTCACACAAGCCCACTTCTATTTTTATCTGGTCAGAATGACGACAAAGCCGACAACCGTCCAAACACTCCAAGTTCCTCCAGAGGCTGCCGTGGACCCTGTGACTTGGTTTGAGCTGCTAAAAATCATCACGTATTCTGATGCTAAAGACGTATACCTTTGCCCTGATTTATTTTTTCACATGTTTCATTTCCTGCGTCACTAACATTTAATGCGTTGTATGTCTGAATATAAAACTTTCACTTCTGCAAAAATATTTCTTTGTAATCTGGCATTTGAAGAATAAACTTCCAAGTGGCAGAGAAGCCGTCGGTTTAGAGAAGAGACGCTGTTTGACAGAAGTTTAGCAGATTTGAATACTAAAACAACCAGAAAAAGCTTTTATCTGTCTACTCAGCATCACGTGCTCCTTCCTGGGGAGGGCTGACACAGGGAAGTTAATTCACTTAACTCCACTCTGTTGTGAGAGGAAGCCCAGTGGCACACTTTGTCCTACTTGAGCCTTATGGGTTCACAGGCAGCATTCACATGGCACTTTTTCCTCAGTTGGGGTTTTATGAAGCTGCAGGAAAGGCCAGCGTAACTATCTAGAGGCTTAAGGGAACAACCAGAACTCTACAGGGTTCGTCTGACGTGATCCTGTAATCCACTAGACCTAACAGAAGAAGCATCTCGAGTTTTTGTAAAATTCTTCCTGCTCATCCTCAGCAATCAGAACAATCAATCATTACCAGTTTCCACATACTTTCTGTTTGTACTGGGGTGCAGATATCTTGTCCTGACACAGTAATGATTAATCAGATGTTTCAGAGCGGTTCTGAGCATTCCAGTGGACTGACCTGATTACATCATCAAACAGGACCTCAGAGGCTACTGACGACAAGCGAGCGCTACCTACATCTACGTCTGACTAAATCCAAGCAAACGGATGGAGCAGCGATCGAGTTAATGCCATTTTTGGTCTCCGATGAGGACTGTGATGGTTTGTCCATGTATTAATAAAATCATTTTTACATTTAAAGTCAGTGCCTCGGACATATTATGAACAGCCCGCCAACACGAAGGACTTCCAATAAAAGAATGGGACAGTCATTATTTTTCTGTCTTCCATGAAGAACACCTGATTCTTTATTTTCAAAACATCACTGCTCTGGACTCACTGCAGCACTCCTTATTTGTCCTCCATCACTTATGGCGTCTTTGTTATGCCAACATTGTCCATTAAGACTGCAACAGGACAGTTTATTTTTCTTCTTATTTTTTAGAATTTCCTTTTTATTCATTTTACTTCTAAGAAGGAGAAAGTTCAAGGTTGTAATGTGACAGCTGGTTTACCAAACAGGATTCCTCCCTGTATGCTGTAAAAAGCAAGAAGCTACCTCCTAGAATCAAGCAGAAGATAAATCATGCAAAAAAATAAAATATATTAATGTGGAAAACTTGGACCTTGTATGTTTACCGGTTATGTGTTTACTGTGACCCTTTGTTTAGCTACAGTACTCATTTAGTTCTCTTTATTACTACTAATGTAGTTCTGGCTCTTATCCGTCAATCAGAACCAGAACCAGAACCAGCTTTAATGGCCAAATACAACATACAAGGAATTGGTTTGGGCTGCCCTAAGAATGAGCAAAGAATGATAGAAATAGGAAAAAAAATAAAAATAAAATAAAATAACTATAGAAAGAAAAAAATAAATAAATAAAAAATAGTAAAAAAAATACAAAAAAATAAACAAATATACACAAGAATGTACACATCTGAGCAGGAAATAAAAATAATTGTTTAAAAACAAAACAAACAAACAAAACCAATGACCCAGTGAGTAGCTAGACGACACACTGCCTTGGCAAAATAAAAATAAATAAAAGAAAAATAAAAAATAGAAACTAAATTAAAGGACACTAAAGCTTCATATTAAAGGTGATGACTGAATAGTTCCGGCTCGCGCTGTGGAAACCATCAGTCACGCATGCTAGCTGGAAAACTTGCTAACGCTGCAAACTAAACTACTAACGTTAGTGTTTGTGGCTCCGGTTTAAAGACAACTCGGCTAAACTGGGTTAAAGGCTCGGCTCGGTATCACCGAAACACCGACCGGAACACACTCATGATGCTTTACTTTCCTACACAGCCCGGTACGCTCCTGCTGTCATGACATTAAAGTTGTTGTGGCTCCAGGAGACAACCTGTACCCGCCGTCAGCCTCCGGAACACGGCTGCTGTTGTCCCCCCAACATACCGAGGCTGGTGGAGGTGGACCAGCGTGGACGCTAGCTGTACATTCAGGTTAGTATTAAGCTAATTACTGGCTAACGTTGCCTGTCGTCTAAATCAAGAGTGGAAGCAGCTAAATGGGACTTTTAGCAGCTAGCCGCCTCGAAATAAACATCACGGTAGCCACGGCAGCTGAGTCATGTAATAGTCACGAGAAGGCGGCCGCGGAGTTCAACTCACCCATCGGAGGTATCCTCCCGCCAGCAGAACCACGAATAAAAGTGCAGATAAGACGCTTCTCCCTGTTAGGAGTCCCATCCCTCTTAGTGAAAAGACCGAAACCGACTGACAGCCCAGGTAAAGTTTCGCATATCTTGTTGTGGTTTCTTCTTCGTCTGAGAGTGAGCGACGGTCTGCGGCGGAGACGCGCTGTGGCCTCGGTGCTGCCGCCAGGCGACGCCGCCGCCACACTGCACCCAGACAGCCACTGCGGTAGAGTGGCTGAAAAGTACATTTGGTAATTAATGAACTGCTTAATTTAAACAACAGGATCTTTTTTATTTGGTTTTGGCTGATTTTCAACAACACAACCAGCTTCTTCCATGTAGAAATACAAACACTCCATACACTGTAGTGGAAAGTCTATTAAAGGGAAAAACTTTTACTTCTGATGATTTCTCAGTTCTTAGTTGTTGTTGTTGTTGCTTTTAAAGATTATGAAATTAAATAATAAAGTGAAAGGGGAAGACAAAAATGCATCACCTGTTTTTCCCTTTCTTCTTTATAAAACCCAACATAAATGAGATTTCTGCATCCAATTTGCATTTTATTTTGTTCATTTCATTAAACTTACACTTCAAAATATTCTCCATGTTTTGTTTATGGTTGACTTCTTTCTTTTCTCTTCTCTTTTTCCTTTTCCCAGGACGCACACAAGGTAAAAACACGGACAAATTACTTACACTTTAATTATTATTATTATTATTATTTTAATGGAACAGTTTGTGTTAGTGAGTTATGACAACTTCCAATGAAATTATCTTCACCAAACTGACTACACAGAGTTAAGGGAATTTTGTTTTGCTTTGGGTATATTTAAAAGCTTAATGATTGGCAGCATAAACACAGACATTTTTAAGTTGATTAATTATAAAAATCAAGTTGCGTCAATGATATTTCAATGTTATTTAAAATGAGTATGTATTTAATTACCATAATTATGAACACAAGTTTTAAAGTTACAGAACAGGCCTTGAAATCCTGACTTAAGGTGAAGAAGAAGTTAGTTATCAAGCCGGTTACATTAAGTTACATCAAGCTGAATTTAGTTTTAAATCATCTAATTCAGAAAATTTAGCTCAAACTACACACAATGTTAATTTAATAACAACATGTCGACTCAACACATTTAGAATAACGCTTGCAAATTAAAAAGGCTACGAGGCCAAAATCTTCGCTTGAAATGAATGTTGATATTTACCTTTTATTTAGTCAATTCTTTTGTTTACTATTTCATTTGTATTAAACCTGAAAGGTGCTGATTCTACAATATCATTATATTAAAACATCATATAAAAGTAAAATCAGTCGTGCAAATTTAAACAGAGCAGAAGAAAATCCATGTTTAAAGGCAATAAAAATGCTTTTTGTTGTTGTTGTTTTTTGATTTATCTTCTGCTTGATCAAGGACGTAGCTTTTTGCATTTTACAGCATCAGGGACTAATCATGTTTGGTAAACCAGCTGTCACCTTCTAACCCTGAACTTTGCCTCCCTGAGAAATAAAATATCGTAACATTAAATAAAGGAAATTATAAACATAATTATAGGGAATAAAAAGCAGCTGTGAGTATTTACAGCTGTAATCATATTAACAATATTCCACTCAATGTGAGTAATATAAGTACTTTCAAAATAAAGAAAAGGGGGAATTTAATCTGTGTAATAACGATACTGGCACCAGGCCAGAGCCACAAAGCACGTTTAGAAAATCTTTAATGAAAAGCAGCTGTTAATGATTAGCACGGCTCTTTTATGATGTTTTCACGTTGAGACGATCTACAGATCTTTGCTAAAAACAGTCCTGAGTGTCAGCAGCTGCCTGTAAGTGAGCGTTTAAATCTAAGCCAAAAAAAAAAATAATTTAGCCTTCATATTCGAACCAGAGTGTATAAAATGATAAAACATAAGACAGACGCTGGGTAAACACTGGAGGTCTGACCCTGACCTGGAACATCTATCTAATCATATAAGAAGAAACAAAGAGGTCAATATGTGGCACTGAGTGAGCTGCAAAATATCATTATCTCAGAAACGCCCCCTTCATTGAAGGAACTTGTTGCTGTTTTACAAAATCCTTGACTCGGTGGAATGTGTTGTAGATATGTCTGGTGTGACCTGCACGCCTCGTCGTTTACTCTTCCTCTTCTGCTGCTTCTGTGCAACATGTGACTGAATGCAGAGATCTGGTATCCGTCTAGGAATTTAACTAAATAAAGAATGCATTAAAAAAAAAATCAACTATCTAAGCACAGATAAAGGAACATCTGCTTCACATGTTTGATCTATTTTTGCTAAAATTGCATTGTTTTATTTAGCATACATTAGGTGCAGTTGTCCTCAGATGTATTCATAACTTGTCATTAAAGAAAATAGAAAATCCACAACAGTCACTCAAATAACTAGAAACTGAAAAAAGTGATAATAAATAAAAATTTACTAAATTCTAATTCAGTGAAATCAGATGTTGCTTTCGAATTGTGGTTGGAAAGAATAATTTTAAAAAAACAAACAAAAAAAAACAGTTCAGGACTAATGAGAGGCCTTTGCTGATGAGCAGTGGTCCAGAACACCTGTCAACAGGTGCACAAGTCTGACTGAGAGCTACAGGAAACACCTGATGGCAGTGATTGGCTCAGAGAGTTGTTCAGCTAGATGTTAGTTCATGGGTCCCATCAGGCTTTTTTTTTTTTTTTTTTTAATATTTCTGTTGAACCACAATTCAAAAGCATTCTAAAAAATTTTCATAAATTTTTTATTTATTATTACTTTCGTCAATTTCAACTTATTTCAGCGACTGAAGCTGTTTTTTTTTTCCTTCTTTAATGGGAGGCTGTGAGCACATGTGAGGACGACTGTATGAGGTTATGTCATGCTGAAATAAAAACACTTCGTTTTCTTTGTCTCGTCAGAAGCTCTGCAATTAGGAGTGTTAAAAATACATCTGCTACCTGTGTGGGAAGTAATGACAGGGCTGGAAACTCTCATCCTTTGTGTGCAAGACTGACAAAGCCCTGAGAGGTGAGCTGAGGTTCTGGGTTCACCTCAGTCTGCTTCAGGAGCGCCACAGGCCAGAACACAGCGAGCATGATGTGACCACGCTCAGTGTTAAATCACATTCTCACACATCAGGGGGGAAGAAGCTCCACTCTCCTGCTCCAAGTCTGAGCAAACTGGCCTTCCATGAAGACGAGAACAACAGCATTACTCACAGGAGCTTTACGTGACTTTAAATTCATTAGCTTTGTTTCCTCATTGATGCACCCTTCACAAAAGTGCACCATCAGCCGCCTGAGCGATCCGTATTGATCACGTCTTTACCCACTGATTCTGAGATTCTGGTCGATCTGCTGCTTTTCATTTATTTATTTCATAGCAGAGCTTTCTTGTCCCAAAGCGGAGGCGTTAAACGTGCTTTTAATAGCTCTCCTCCTCCTCCGACACATGCAGCAATCTGTGCCTCGCATGTAGAAATCAGAAACCTACCGAGTGTGGCATCACTTAGTAGTTCTATCATAGAAGCAGTGCAATCAGAGTCTATTGATTTATTATCAGTTGACTGTTTAGAGAGGTACGTTTAACACAAAACAATCTGTATAAAACATATAATAATACATTCTGACCTGCAGTCAGACAGACAAAAACAAGCTGGTGCATGTTTGGTCTAAAAACATATAAATCAACTATAAAACTGTCGCCAATCACTTATTTAGTGATGACAGTTTTATTTCAGATTAAAAGTTCAGTTTTTGTTTGCAGGGGAACAACACTGAGGCTGACAGTTGGGATAAATCATTAACAGTTGATAATACCAGCAGACCAAAAGGCAACCTTACTTATTTTAGGCTCAAATATAAAGACTTAAGTTTGACTTTTATTTATTTATTTAATGTGAATACGTCCTCCTGATCCTCATTAGAGTTAATGATTTGTTTCTCTACCTAAAGTTTGGGGAACCTGTTGGTGTAATCTGATCAAATCACACCCACACAGTGGTGCTGAAGGAGATTAGATCGCGTTATACAGTTAATAATAATGTGTTTGTTCTTCTTTCTCGCCTCTTTAATTCCTGCTTCAGGTAAAAAGCAGCAAGTTCCTAAATATTAACTTCTAAGTAAATACTATCAAAACATTTCTGCTAAATGTGCGTCCAGTCTGCAGCATTCAACACCCTGCTCGGTGGTTAGCATCGTGGCCTCGCGGTTAGGTCGCCGGTTGGCGTCCCGGTGAGGACACCCGGGATCTTTCTGCGTGGAGTCTCCATGTTCTCCCCGTGCAGCGTGGGTTCTCTCCGGGTTCTCCGGCTTCCTCCCACAGTCCAGAAACATGCTGAGGTTAATTGGTGATTGTAAATTGTCCGTAGGTGTGAATGTGAGTGTGCTTGGTTGTCTGTCTCTAAGTGTAGCCCTGTGATAGACTGGTTACCTGTCCAGGTGAACCTGCCTTCACCCTGAGTCAGCTGGGATAGACTCCAGCCCCCCATGACCTGAGTGAGGATGAAGGTGTAGAGATGATGGATGGATGTTTCTGATCTCTGCTGATGTGTTAGTTTCTTATCTTCTAAATGTAAATGTGGGAAACTCTTGAAAAAGATTTGAGCCTTCTCCTGGTTAAATAAAAATAAAAACATCTCGCCCTCGTGTTAAAGACACTGTTCATTTACCGTGATGACTCAGTTTTCCTTTATTTTTCTAGTTTAGAAGCTTTAACTTCTTTGTTAGCGCTTAAACGATATCATCAGCCGTCTGAGGGCAGATTAAGCAGCCGAGCAGCATCTAAAGTTCACCTTTGATCTGTTTCCATTGACTGTTTTATTGTGCAACCTACATTACACATCATGCTAACGCTCACTCAGACTCCTCACTGGCAGCCATGGTGGCCAGATCCTGGCGTCACACTAACGTACTACAGCTAAAGATGGCGGTACATTGTGAATCGTTTTCGACGACGCAGCAGAGCGTCGGGGTGGATGCGCCTCTAACTCGGCCGATCATCTGTTTTCATCAGATTGCTGCCTGAAGAGGTGATAAGATAAAAAAGATGACCGAGCAGACGAGTAAATCATTACGCTCTGTTTTCCTATCATATCTCGTCCCTTTACTTGTAAAGCTGTGGGAGAAAAAACAACAACAACAAACATGCTGTATTTCTATAGAAAAAAAAAGATTTATTCACTTCTGAATGAAATAATCACAATTCGGGAATAAGTGCATATTCACGTATGATATGACAAAACTGTGTACTGAGTATAAATTATAGGTGTATATTTTGGGGTATATTGCAGCTTAATCGCCGTTTTCCTGTACATGTACCTGTGTAAAATCTGCAAAAGTAGGCTCACAGGCCGCTACAATAGTATATTCCTTTAAAACTAGGAATAATATTTGCAAAGTTAATGCTCCTGCAAAACTAAAACACTTTAAAGCTACGAACAGATTCAACAGCCTTTGTGAAACAACAGTCTACGCTTCTGCTAAAAAACAAAAACAAAAACAGAAACTGAGAAGTCTCCTGGTGATATTAAAAGATCAAAAACATTCTTAGTTTCTGACACAGAGCCATTCAAAAATAGTCTCTAAAACACATCACAGGGAAAAGCTACCAAAGTCTAAACAGGTTGCTCGAATGGCCTAAAACAGTTCAACCAGCGTCTGTCAGGAAAGTTAGAAAATACAGGAAGAAAGCTTTTGTCTTTAGGTTTTTAGTCGTCAGGTTAATTCGCCAATAAGCCCAGCGTGCAGTCAGGAGCGTTGGGGAACAATCGCTCACGGTTTCCTGTGTGTGCAGACCAACACGCTGATAAACTCCTCACAGTCCAGATAAGTTTGTGGGTCGACACAAATACGCTTCACGTCACAAACGTGCTGCAGGTGGCGAGCTACGAAGCACGGCGGCGCAAACATGACCGCCTGCTGTGTTTGCATTCTCCACATACCACACGTCAGGGGGGGAACCAGCGCGCACAGAACTGTTTTAGAACATTAAAGGCAACACGTCTAAATGAAGCTATTCACCAGTATTCCCCTTTACGCCGACTATACATTCTATACACTGCAAGATTTAGTTTCCACGTGACTCATCCTTCAGGAGGAGCGTCGTCGGGCCTCGGAGGAAGTCAACACATCAGCATCTTCCTGACTTCAGCGAAATGTTCTGCCGTTCATGACGAGCGAGTCTACAACGCGTGTACCTCAAGTTGTGTTTCGGGTCGAGCTGCCAGTTTCTGTTTTATGCAACAGAGCTTCTGCCTCCAAAAAAAAAAAAAACAACTGGGAGGCGCCTCCATCCTTTTGAATAGCATTCGTCCGCCGACTCATTTGGATCAAGTATTTTTGTGCATAACATTTAAAGATTTTCCACTTTGGGAGACGGGATGTTCACAGAGGTTGCATCACTGGGGTGGAGTGTAACTGGTCCGGCAGCTCGAAGGTCAGCTGAGTCACAACACGACTCAGCGTTCGTCCTCCTCTCAACGAGGAAAAAGTCGTCTGTAGTTTGGTAGTGAGGAAAAAAACTCTTTGGAATGATTTAATGTAAAAGGCATGCAAACAGCGCACGGAGCAGCCCGATGTGACACCGGACTCCATCAGACGGGATGGTGTGATAATGGATGGTACCACTTATCAATGCTTCTCCAGCCTCCAGTGCCTTCCTCAGTGGAGCTAAAACAGTCTCCTGTCCCATCCCGTCCTCAGTCTGGGCCCAGGTACTCTGCGTTCTCCGCGGCCGGTATGTGTCCGTTGGTGTGGGTTTTGAAGGTGGGAGTGAAATCCTGTTGGTAGTCGGGGTTGTCTATGCTGTTCTGGGGCTGGTACTTCTGAACGTTGTGGACCGTGCCGTTGGGGGTGAAGGCGGCGGGGGTCGGCACCTCGTTGAGGTATTCGGGTCCGTTGGTCCCGTTCCTGAAGCAGTTCAGGTACTCCGTCTCGGCGTCGTCGGAGGAGATGGTGGGGAGGAGCGTGCGAGGCGGACCCGGGTGCTGGTAGTTCGGGTTCGCCATGTCTGAGACTCCGTTCTGGTTCATGTAGTCTGTAAGAGAGTCAAACACATTAACCAGAGCACTGGACAAGCTCCCAACAAATGATCAGCAGTCTATAACCTGTATAATCTTATTCTTTAATTTCTGAACAGCCTCGTTCCTTTGTTTGATATGCGTCTTATTCCATCTAATTATTCATTTAGTGTATAATCATTGTTTCTATTGTGTGTTTTATTTGACTGCTCTGCCTCGTCTCCTTACGTCTGACTGTCAAAGCACCTTGTGAACGCTGTTTGTAAAGGTGCTATATAAATAAAGTTATTATTATTATCATCATATAAAACTTAATGGATCGTAATTAAGGTTTTCTATGATCTGTGGGGATTTTTTAGCGTTGCATTGATGAGCTGACCGTATAGAGACAGCAGGATGTGAGGAGGAAACACTCCAGCTGCTCCTTTTTTCCAAACTCCAAATCTTTTTCTTTCTCTTTCAATCTTGTGTTTTGTTTGCTGTTGGCCAGTTCTGAATGAGCGTCTGAGAGGCCTCACGATTCCAGAAGTGAAAACCATTTCAGACGACGGCAGCAGCTGTACTTCCTTTATTTGTAATAACGATATTAATATAATACACCCATCGTCTATAGATGCACGTACTTGATGGATCGCCATGCGTTGTACACGATTATGAGTGTAAGAGTCTGACAAACAAAATGATTCTGAACGTTCTGGGTTTTACTCCACTAATGTCTCCATAAACAGGAAGCCAACAGCAGTCAGGTTAGTGTTTGCTAGATTGCAGCTGCAAGCACTGACGGTTTTCTTTGTGATGCATTTGATTTTTTTTAATCGATATTCTTCACAGATCAACCTCAAGCAACAAAAAACAAATAACTCACACATGTAGTCTACAACCGGACTGCTGACATCACTGAAAAACACCAAAGCAAGCAGGTTGTCGATGTGGCCGCTAAACCAATCAGGGGGAACCGGACCGTCTCAGAACGACGTGAGCAACAAAAGGACGTCAATAAGAAATATTTAAAGCTACACGCGAGCGTCTTGTTCAGTTCTCGGAAACTAAGTTAGATTTTTTTCCCCCTTTAAGGTGTTTTCCTAAATGAGTTTATTTAATTACATTACGTTGAGTATTTATGCTCTCATTGTGTCATTATGTGCTCAAGGCAGTGAAGACACTTTTCCACTTTGGTGGGTAATTAAATTCTGCATTCAGTGTTTCTATAGGTGTGTGTGTTTGAGTTGTGTTGTTGTAGTAAAGATGCACACACACTTAAACCGTCTAATAAGGTGGTCGGCGATAGGAATAATAGTTGTTCCTGCTCCTCACGCTGTTTTCTTTTTACTAACACAAAAAATAAAAAAGCACTAAAGCTGCTGCAGAACCAGAGAGAATCCAGCAGACAGGATTGGGCAGCGTGACTCTTGTCCACTAGATGTCGCTCTTCCTCGCCGAATCAAACGGAGGCCTGAGAGGTGAGCTCGGCTGCGACATTAAACTGTAATGTCACTGAGGGCTCATGCGGCTGAAGGATACTTGCCTGGAGCGGGCTGGAAGGCATCGTCCAAAAGTTTGTCCGTGGGGTCGGGGATGTATCGCAGGACCATGCTGCCGTCTCTGCTCGGGAACCCGTTCTGCAACAGAGGACAGAGGTTTTTAGGAAGGTGGCACTCGCTGTGAAGAGGGATGCTAAAGAGAGGGAAGCCCTTTTCCTCAAGTGTTTATTTAAATCTCACCATTAAGCCATTTCTGCTGTGGCATGTTCCAATGCTGCCGTTGAGGCTCTGGAAAAAGAAAACGCAGGCTTTAGTCTCGCAAATTCATAACACAACTGAATGTTCATCTATTAACCATAAAACCTGACATCAAGTAAAGAAGGCGGTTTAAAATGGTACTGAGTGGGCACCTCCAGCACAATGCACCAAACAAAAATTAATCTTTTTTCTTTAAATCTGATTACCTTTTATTTATTTTATTTTATTTTTATTTTTTTAGAGCGTGTGTCTCTTTCGGCCACTCTGATTTATTTTAAAGCCTCTCAGGAGACACTAAGTTCCCCTTTGAATTGTGATGCTAATGTGTTTTTATGGCGCCCGAGAAGAAGTTACAGCTGCCATCCTCGGTACAAGCTGATGGGGATGGAAATAAACATCCAGCGAGCAGATTCGTATTCATTCAGGCAATCTGACGCGCTTTGTTGTTTCTGTCAGAGTCTCCAGTCAAAGGACCGCGGATGGCATAAAACCGCGAAAACCCGGCGAATAGAGAGGACTGACTGACAGCTGTGGCAATGCAATTACTTTCAACAAGAAAAGGAAATTAAACACGCTGAAGGAGCGACCATCTGTAAAAGAGAAACTAAAAAACCTCGACCCCTCGCGAGCCGTGCCCCCACAGTGATATGACTAAAGCAGGCCTTTTTCTGAGCTTTTATTGGACGGAGATTTGAAACAGTGCGCCTGGGTTCCTGTAAAGGTAATCAAATTTAAAGGCTCCTATGGGCTAACTAGGCTGTCAGTGGCCGGCAACGATCCCAGGTAGAAGACCTACGCATGGCCTTCGCTGAACCTGCACAGGAACAGCTCTCCTTGTTCAGCTCTCATCAATCACAGTTCGACGTGGGCGAGGCGCTGATGAAGCAGGGTCAGGACGGGACAGGTGAGCAGCACGAGGGCAGCTGCTAGCGCCAGAGGGGTTCGGTCCAGGTGAGACCGGCCACTTTAGAGGCATGTCAGGACATCTGGGCGAATTCCTCACACTGTACCGTCAGCTCAGCTCTGACTGAAGCAGAAGACGATTGTTTTCAGCAAGCTAAAATAAAATGTTTATTTCCATTCTGAGTCACGCCGTAATGATCTACGCAGAAATCCCAATTTCCCAAAACACGGCCAAAATAGCGCAATTAAATGTTCAAACAGCTGACTGCTTGGTGGTGAAGTGTGCACCGGCCTGACGTTTCTTCCTCCTCTTCTTCGATTAAAGCTGATTTTTACTTTTTTTTTTTTCCCCCCGGGGAAATTTCCAGAGCGCCTCCAAAAAGCAGCTGGTTTTCCTCTTTCACTGTTTGGACAGTGAAGGTCAATGTGAGTGAATCTGGTGTGTGTGTGTGTTATAAAGGTATCGTTACATGTGCTTTTTCATCCCTTAATGAGTCCAGCTGACTCACTGGGGGCTGAAAGTTCACAGCATTAAATACACTGACAACAGTTTGGCTGTGAATCTCCAGTAAGAACGCCGATGGAGCAGGTCAGCAGCTGTTGTAGTTTAAATATCATTAAATGTAGCCCAGGACTTTCCAGTGTCGCTGGGCCTTTTGTTGATGTGATAGAAAATATATTCTATCTTATGTCTTCTTCTCAGTCTACATTCATGCACTTATTTGCTCCATTTTAATCTTACATGGTTGTAATAGGCCTCTGACTATTAATCACATGACACCAGTTGTGTAATTCTAAATCATACTGTCGGTGGACAATCACACCAAAGAAAGAAGAAGAAGTGCGCCCCCTTGTGGAAGCAGGACACATAAAGGAAGTAGTCAGACTAAGAAATCGTGTCAGACAGCATCGCATGAGAGATCATTTACCGACTGCTGGATCTAGTCCACTAAAATACCCGCCAGCTTCACCAATCTCAGGACGAGTGGACCACAATCAGCACCGACAGCATTATGATCTGTGTCACGGTGCAAATGGTGGAAACACTCATGGCTGACTTGTGCTGTCTGGTCTATGACCCCATTCTCCATCTGTCCTCGTGTCATGGTGCCCATTCTGTACCAAACCTACGCCCATGTGTTAAAAAACAATGGATGTGATTAAATAATACATCACCGTTTGTGTTTTTGTTCAGCACATACGACGACTTCGCTTTGCTTCAGCTTTCATTCTAACTGGACAATCGGTGTGGCAGCGCGAGCTCTTTAAAGCCAGAAATGTTGTGTTTAAATTACAGTGTGCTGTTTTTATCTCACACGCCTGCCCACAAAGCAGGAATGAGTCACCGCACCAAGTTTTTCTGAAATATCAGCAGCGGTATTGAAGAAAAAAACATTTCCTTTATTTTTTTTTTCTAGTGCCGGGATGCAGAACTTCTTAGCTTGTGCCAAATTGAAAGCGGTGGCGGCACAAAGGTCACGTCTGAGACACAAATGTCCAGACAGACCAGATCTGAAAACCCCTTTGATTGCTTTTCTTTTCTTTTTTTATATGAAGGAGCTTACTGTGGAGTGAAGCAGCGGGGTGTGGGAGGTGCTCGGGCTGCTGAAGAAGCCATGTTGTGGTACCAGGTATTCATCTGCATCCACGGCGTCCTCCATGTCCTCCCCGCTGATCAGGCTGCGGTAGAATTTAGTATCCGTGGGACTGGGTAGGTGCATGCGGTCATCGCCCTGAAATAGAAAGATCTGCCTGAGCTCTGTGGGTCTCATGCAGTCGCCATCAAACAGACAGCGGTTTTATTTTGAAGTCATAACAAGTCAAAGTGTACCTGGATGACGAGATAACGGGACGGATCCCGAGCCATCTTTGTAAACTCAGCTATTAGTTCTCGGAAATGAGGCCGGCTGTCCGCATCGATCATCCAACCTGGACGGACACATCAGCAGAGATGGGCGAGATAAGTCGACTCAGTAAGATGAAACGTAAATATTCCTATGCGAGGATGTTAACGGAGATGAATAGCAACAGCGAAAACAGGAAGAAGAACGAGGAGATTATAAAAATAAAGCCTTGATTGAATACAATTTATATTAAAAACAGGCTGCAACAGATTCATATTTTTGTTATTGATTCATTCTTTGGTCTTTAAACCATCCAAGGTGGATCATCTCATGGCTTTTATGCCTGATCATAACTAAAGATATTCAATTCTCTGTAACATAAAACAACAAAAATGCTACAGAGTTATCAAATTTAACTATAATCACTGAAAGTCTGCAGGTTGTGTGTCTGCTCTGATCGGGTACAGGCCTTCCACCGAGCTTACATTTCACCATGATCATGTAGACGTCTATGGTGCAGATTGGCGGCTGAGGCAGGCGCTCTCCTTTCTCCAGGACGCCGGCTATTTCGCTGGCAGGAATCCCATCGTACGGTTTGGTCCCAAATGTCATCAGCTCCCAGACTGTTACACCTACAGCGCAGAAAGGAGGACAGTCGGTAAATGTCAGCCTGATGAGCTGTCATTCACTTTGTTTTTGCTCCCAATATATGAAGAAAAAAAAAGAGGGAAGAAATGACAGTGACAGGATGTGCGCTTCTCAAATATCACACAGTATCAAAATAGCTGTGTTGACAAATTGGCTCTGCCTGCAGGAGTGGGAGTTAGCAGGATGCATTTCTGTGTTGGAGGAACTGAAGACGGGAAAAGGAGGAAAGGAAGCCCGCCACTTCTGCCAGGGTCTGCTGATGCTTCTGCCATATTGAGCGGAAGGCTTGATCAAACCCTCGGGAAAAGAAGATTTGGAAGCTGGCCCACTCAGAGAGGCTGTGCTGTGTGTGTGTGTGTGTGTGTGTGTGTGTGTGTGTGTGTGTGTGCGTGCTCCCGGGCTGGAATAAAACTGTTCATGTGGGTTGAGACAACAATCTGTCCTGACGTGAAATTGTCCATCTGAGACTGCCGGTGTGTAGGTGTCTGCTACCTGTGTCCTAAAATCGCAGATGCGGGCAAGATGTTCCCCCCTTTCCTTTTCATTTTGCGTTTTAAAATGTTGACAAGCTTTATTAAATCCAAGAACAACATCCTATCCGAGGCTTCAGAACGGCCGTCCTCCCTCCGCCCCGCTCGCTGCTAAAACACTTGATTTAGCAGTGAATAAATATTTCTCCAGCGAGACTGTCACCAACGCTCAGGAGCACAGAGACCCAGATGATTTACATATCTGAAGTTAAACACGGCTTGAAGCTCGATCTGGGACGCCGCATGGTGGGATCTGCTTTACTGGGTCAGAGGTAGAGCGTGCATTCACAACATGAAGGCTTACCGTAGCTCCATACGTCACTCTGGTGTGTGTAGGTTCTGTTCAGGATAGATTCCAGAGCCATCCATTTAATCGGCACCTGCAGAAGATAAATGAGTGTTTAGACTGCGTCCTGTATATAATGTTTTCACAAACCACGGTGCCTCACTGCATCACTTTTGCTGCCACATGCCTGTGCTTGCAGGGCTGTTCTCACAGATGGATGAAGAGAAAACTAAAAAGCTATTAGCAGCCGTGACTTTATAGACTCTTGTAGAAGCAATATCCGTAATGGCCTCTTAAAAGAAGTGATAATTTAATTCATACCTTACTGACACACAGTCAAATTTGGCCTCTTTGCTCAAAGCACCGTAGCACTTTCTTAGATTGAAATTCAATACTGTCACGTTCAGTGTATAATGTAGCTGCACTGCCACCTAGTGGTGGAGAACTGCAGTAGTCACACATAGGTTTTAATTTTTAAACTGTTAACAATGTTTTTGGATCAAGGATCAAGTCTACTCCCAACCTTAAAGATATATATATATATGTTTGAACTAATGCCTGATTGAAAACTGTCCTGCAATCTTTAATTAACAGCAAATAGCAGAAGCATTTAACGACAGCGACGGAAGGAAATCTCAGCAGTGGTGGATTTCTGTGTTTGAACGTTGTCCAGATATGTTTCTTGAGAACCGGACATGCTTCACATCTGTCCTTCTGGTGTTGACAGGCAATAAAGACATCTGGGACGAAGTCGAATATTGTATCGTCAGCTCGGAAAATCCAGATGTAACGAAGCTCTGCTAATCTAACAAGGCGATGCATCAATATTCAAGGACTTTCTGCCACGGTATGGGATTGCTCACCAAGTTTAGTACAAAAAAAAACCAAAACAAGACAAAGTGTGTAGGTCGCCCTGCAGCTACAGCCCAATACAAGCACATCATGTTTTTTCAGTGAGGAAAAATAGTTCCTTCCAGTGGCACAAAGAAACAATGATAAGAAGAAAAAAAACTTATCTGATTTGTCATTTCTCTTAGAAGTCAGTTCACTGACAGGAACTATTTATATAGCACTCCACTTATATAAGAAACAATCTGGAACAAAACTAAGTGCAAAAAATGACATCTTTCATGGATTGGAGCTTATTTATGGACAGGAAATCATCCGTCACCCAACCATAGATGTGAAAAAAGACTGTAAATGCTGGTAATATTTAAGCCTATTTGTGTGCAACAACAACCGTGGCTATAAATTCAGAAAAATCTTCATGGTTAAGATCGCAACCTTCGTTTTAATATCTTGGTTAGACTCCCACCAACCTTTCCTCCATCCGCGTGGTACTCTTTCTCGTCTGCATTGAGAAGTTTGGCGAGGCCGAAGTCGGTGATCTTGACGTGTTGAGGAGTCTTCACCAGGACGTTCCTGGCTGCCAAGTCACGATGCACCAAGTGGCGCTCCTCCAGGTAGTTCATACCCTTTAGTCAAACAAACGATGAAAGTCATTACATAAGAGCGGAGCTTTCACTAGCTGCCTGACACAGCTGGAAACAGAAACGTTGCGTGATCAGACACAATTAAATAAAAATGTTAAAGCGCTGATATACTTGTCATCGTCGCCCGATTAGTCAGTCAACAAAGTTTCTTGTGTGTTGTTCTTTAAAGCAGCTGTAACAACAAAAACAACCTGACTTGCTTAAGTCTCCTTTGTGTCTACCACACACCCTGAATGACTTAAAACCCCACAAAGACGAGGGATAAACACTATTGTTACTGAAAATAAATGGCAGCGGAAAAAAAACTATTGATGTATTTATTGCCTAATATCTGCTGTAGGTGTGTAAAACAGTAATTACAGTCCCATGCAGGTGCGACCGACTGAACTTGATAGCTTCGGGAGCTCTTACCTTGGCGATCTGCACACACCAGTTGAGCAGGTGCTGGGAGCCGATGTTGTCCTTGTTCTCTCTGACATAGTCCAGCAGGCAGCCGTACGGCATCAGCTGGGTGATGAGCTGCACCGTGGAGGTGAGGCAGATGCCCAGCAGGCGGCACACGTGGGGGTGTTCCACGCTGGCCATCACGTAGGCTTCCTGCAGCGTGAACACAGAAACGTTTTGGTCTTTACAGATGTTGGGATGCAACATAAAAAAAGGCATAATTCACTCTGATGGAGTAAAGGTTCAAGAGGAAGATGTCTGTTTGATTAAAAAGTCTCACAGCCTATTTAATCTTCCACATAAATATTGGTGGAAGCGTCCATATTTATCCTGGCAGATGATTGCTTGAAGAACATATGTGGAGATACACAGTGTTGAGCGACAAGTTCCTCAGCAGCAGTCCTTCACAGCCAGCTCTGTTTTATTGCCCGCGAGTGGAAACTCTAAGTCATCACAACCGAAAAGCAGCTTTAAGAAGGAAAAAAAAACAAAACCACGGGGATAATCGGAACTGGCCAGTAAAAATGGCTTCCTGCAAGGAGACCCGTGCAACAGCGCTTCAAACAGCTGCATTCAGTAAGTTTCCTGTCCTGAGTGCATTAATTGGACCTTCAGTATTTTCAACATGCCTATTACAGAATCAGTATTGTTCGGTAAATAACCACGTCTCTGCCAGGAGCTCTGTAATCTTGACAGTCTGATGACAAAGAGGTTAATTTTCATACAAGGCTGCCCTCGAGCCACGGAGTTCAGAGGACGTCCACCGCAGCCGGCAGATGTACGGTGACGGAGCAGCACGACCACAAAATGACAGGATCTGAGATGCACATCGGTCTGGTTGCGTAATGCGCATTCAGAGCAGGCGGTTTTCTGCGCGCGGCTTCAGGACTGCATTCTTTTCCAGAACACCTCAGCCTTGGATTACACACCGACGCCTACACCATGCCTTCCAGTGAAATAATCCCATTTCCTACAGCCCCGTAACACGACACGTTCTCCATTACAAGAAAAACATGTGGCCGTTGGTTTCAAACAAAGTTGTACGCGCTATAAATTACAGGATACATTACTCCTGAACTGACATCTGGTGGGCAATAACTGTCAGTCACTCCGCGCAGCACACTGAGGCACTTTGGAGCCTTAAAATCAAGTCAAAATATTGTGATGCTTGTGACACGAATTTGCATAAAATGTCTAACTTAAAACCGAGAGCACCCACGCAGTTGAAGGAAGCTGGGAAATCACACTGGAAATGAACTTCTGACTCAGTATTACAGGAAGCTGGGTACAAAAAGTGACCACATAAATCGGTGAACTTACGTCCAAGATCTCTTTGTTTGCTTTTGGTGATGTGGCCTCTCTCAAAACCTTGATGGCCACTGGGATCTTCACATCCTCTCCCTCTGGAACCCACAGACCCTGTGTGGACACAAGTTTCTTATTTTACAGGCTGCAATTACACCTGAATCATGCAGTCACGCAAGCATAAACGTTAGAACTTACAGTGCAATAATACAGATGTGCTGGTTGAGTACAGCCCTGCCCTCAAACATACAGTATACGGTACATTTATCTATTTGCAGGCTTTACTTTGCAAAAAATGTCCTATCAAGGTCTAAAAGGGAAAACTGTCCTCATAAAGGCAGCAACCCAAGAGAACATCGACCTGACTTACATTCCTTCTCTGGAGATTTAGCCTAACCTGAAACCAACCCCAAAATAAACAGTTAACCCTGAGGAGACCAGCTTTTCGTCCCCACATGGAGGATGAGTTCCCACAATGTCGTTGCGCAAACACACATTCCCTCATTAATACGACGGCACCGAGAGTGAAGTCACTCATGCGTGATCTGGCAAGTTAGAAATGTGCGCTCTAATTGAAAAATTGACAACACATGTGGATGAGCAAAAACACTGATGGGTGTTGGTTCTTGGCAAGCGCAGCGCTCCGGAGCTGCAGCTTCAGTAAAGCGCTGCACCGGACTTCAGTTCTGACAATAGGGGGGCGTTTGAGACACAACCCCGAGGCCTTTTATTACCTTGTAAACTGTACCAAAAGCTCCTGAGCCCAGCACTTTGATTTTCTTAAATTCAGGTTCCTTCAGGATCCGCAGCAGAGCCTGGTTTGGCGCCTCTCCGCTCGGGGTGAGAGGTTCCACCAACTGCAAAGACGGATCGAATGACTTGAATACTCAATATGTTAAAATTAAACCAAACGTAGCACATGACAAACGAAACACGTCTTCCTGTCTGAACATGACGTGACTCAGCTCCCTCGTCTCACCTCTCTCTCTTGGAGCAGTCTGCGCATGGTCCTCTTCCTCTTGATGTGGCGTCGGCGGAGCAGCACAAAGACAGACAGGCCTGCAACGAGAGCAGCCAGCAGCCCACCAACTACACCGGCCGCAATCATGGACAGACCAGGGGGGCTGAAAGACAGCGAGCTGATTTAAGAATGCAGACAGAGAACAGAGCACAGACGTAAATTTCAACGAACAAGGAGGTAGCGGGATCAGCACACCTAACTCAGACGAGTGTAATCTTAAGGAGTGACGATCACATCAGCGCTGCTGCGTCTACTCACCTTTTAATGTGGCAGCTTCCGAGGCCAGGTCCGACGCACCTGCGAACAGATCAATGCAGAGAATCTAGTCAACCTGCAATGTCAGCACAGAGCCGCCGTTTTCCTGCGAAGCACCGACTGTCCGGCCAAAACAAATCGCCGCCGTCCCGCTTGCATGTTTCACAACATATCTGATTTCATTTGTGCCAGTGAAAGCGTCCAAGTTCTCTGTAATTTGCTACAAGTCCGCAAGACTAAATAGTTTGAACGGCTGCATCAATCACCGGGGTCAGCTGGGGACTGTTTATTTCCACGCAGACCAGTGATGTATTTATGAAACGCCAAACTATTGAAAAGTTATGGAAACAAATATCGGATTTTTCTTCGTACGAGGCCGCTACGGAGGCTCATCAAAGTGGCTGCGTTCGGCGGTTTAATTCCAGAACCACTTCCCCTGTTACTCATTTGTGTACCACCATGGCTGAATGCTGATTGTATATAACTGTGAAAATTAGGTCTGTTTTCAGCGGGAGCCATTATTGTTTTGTTCTTAAATGTATTACAGACCTCTAAAACTTGATACTGAAACAAACAGTAACCAATGGCAGCCTGGAAGGGACCAAAAAAACAAAAAACAGCATCCACAAACTACAGCAGGCCTTGAACAGAAATAATGTCGAGCGCATCTTATTTGTTGTAAATGGGACAATGTGCAACAGCACCAGTATTGTTTTTCAATCTCGCTTCACAACATCTGTCCTACATTGTCTGATTTCAATAATCTCAGCAAGAATTGCCTCATTTTTAAAGTCGGCCTTTCTCCCCCGATGTGTGCCAACACAACCACAGCTGAACCTTCGGGCTTGGAAGGCATTTGTGCACCAACGTTACGACAGACGAATGTTTGCAACACATGCAGAAGTCGTGCCAGTTCTCAGGACGACGGAACAATGCTTTTACCCTTGAGTGCAGTTCTTGTGGCAGAGCTGGCACACGTTCCTCTCGTCTGCGTACTTCCATACGAGCATGTCGTCCTCCCCCGGCACGCCTTGGGGGCAGCGGGAGACACAGAACAGTCCATCTTGGAAGTTGGCACACTTCGTACAGTTTCCAGAACCCTGAAAGTAAAAAAGACTCGCCGTGTTTACGACTCTATTGGAGCAGCTGTAAATATTATGTTAACCGCACTGTCTCATAGTAATAATTTCTCAAAGCGACCTGCATCATTCTTCCTCATAAAGACGCAAATGTTTGGCAATGAAAACCCGCAGAGTTGATGCTTCAGAGTCAGCCCGGTGAAAAGACAAGTACGATAACATTTCGGTTATCTGATACAGGAGCTAATACTTTCCCTCAACCTTTGGAGCAACATCCAGCACCAGAGCTCCCTTTGGGGACCTTCTATCTTATCTGACTTCAACCCAGACGTTTGTTTCTGATAATGATGCCAGTTATTTCCCAAAAAGAGCCTGAACTTGTTTTTTAATCAAAGGTGGGATTATGAGCTTACAAAAGAAGACAGTCAGATCACACAGTCACACCCCTCATTCAAAACACAACATGTCTTGTGGCTGCGCTGCATTATGGTCTATTAAGGCTGCTGTTGACGGAGAAATCAGCAGCACAAGCACTTCTGGAGCAGATTTAATGCTGCTCAAATATTCATCTGATTCTGAACGGCTGAACATTTCAGATGGTTTGAAGAACGGTTTAAGTGTATTTGTTCTGTTTGTGGCATCGGTTCGGTGTTTTGGTGACAGACGTACCGGCGCGCTGCAGGTCGCGGTCCCGTTCATGCGCTGACACTCGGGGTGACACTCCATGCAGGTTTTGTTCGCGACTGCCTCCCGCGGTTCACTGCAAAAACAAAAACAAAGCCGACAAACTCTCACCGCTGGCACGCCTCATTTCAAACAGCTACATGTGAAGTGACGGTCTTGATCCCTTCTTTGAGGGCAGAAGTTAATTGTAAGCCCGTCAAGATTCAATGTTTGACAGAGATCTCCAAAGATAAACACATGTGAGCGAACGTACCATTTCTGCTGCAGTGTTTGTCTTACATCTACTGGAGCTTTAACTTCAAAATACCTCGGATCGTATTTGGCCTCAGCATTTCTTTCAATAATCCCCAAACTCATCAAATGTCACAGTCGGTGTGTGCTCATGGTACGAAAATAGACTTTGAAGGAGTGAACTGCCGAGCACACAGATCTGATGTTTAGACTGCTTGTTTGTCTAAAACAAGGAGCGCAGCTAAAAGGCAGCCGGTCCCAGATTCCTCCCTTACCCCTCCAGGATGTTGCAGGAGTCAACACAGCTCCCATCACGGCTGTAGTCACGGCAAGCAAAACACATGTCCGGGCCCGGACCCCAGCAGCCGTCCGCCGTGCACTTCCTGTCACATGTGTTGTTCGTCAGAGCTGAAACCAAACATGAAATCTTAAGGAGAGATCTTCCCCGCGTCGTTATCCAATTTTGATATCAAGCCCCACTCATTAAATCTCCCTGACGTAATCAGAAGTTACAAAAACAACGAGGATCTAACTCAATTTGAAATCAGTTTACCACACGTGGCAGCGTTAGCATTTTCTTCTATCATAGCACTTTGGCTGCTGGACTTGAAGAACCTCTTCCAGTGGCTGACGTCGGTGTAGCAGAGGTCCCGGTTCTTGATGATGGCCACGTCTCCGTCGCTGATTTCTCTGAGGGACTTGAGACCCAGATGCTGGATACCGAGCTGAGTTATGACAACACTGCGGCTCCCTCTGCACAAGGTGGAACAGAGAGTCAAGAAGAATAAGAATAAAAAAAAGGAACGTATTTATGACTCGACGCCTGAGAAACTAATGTCTTCCTTGTGATCCAGTGGTTGTGAATCTAAGGGGGGTCTTTACGAGGAACATACCGTTTAGTTCTTCCACGAATGACCTCCAGATTCTCAAACGGACTGAGTGAGGTCATATTTGTTGGCCACGTCTGAATCCACAAATATCCTGAAGCAACAAATGGTTTGTTAATTGTGAAACTCTTTAGTGAGCGTTTTATTGTTATTGAGCATTAGTCACATCTTACGTAGTCTTACCAGTAATTTCCTTAACTGTCTTAAACACATCAAGCTGGGCAGGATCCATCTTCGGTGTTTTGGTGAATGTATCCCTACAAATAATGCACATTATTGGTTTTTGGTGAGGGCGCCCAGCAGTGTCTCACAGCTGACAACATGAAGACTGTAACACTAGTAATGTCCTCGACTTACCCATAAATCGATGTGTGGATAATGTCGATGTTACCATTGATTTTGGTGCAGTTTTTAAAGGAGTCGATGTTCGTAGCATTGATAGACAAGGTGTGAAGCAGGTCTCCTGTTCCCAGTCCGTTGCACGCTGTAGGAAACAAATAAACTGAGTTACAGGCAGTAGTCACGTTTAACACAAGTAATACCTTGATGTTCGTACAGTAAAAGTATTATTGTCAGTAAAATACATGTAAAAATTATTAAGGGTGCTCATTATGCTTACAGTATGATCCATTTGAATTAGCATGTGGCTATCAAAGGTGGAGATAATCACATTAGCTAACTATTTACTATTAGCTAGCTTGTCTATAATGATGTATTATATTGTGTTCATCACAGAATAATATATGAGTTTAAGAGACAGTTTGGCATTTTCTAAAATACTCTCAACTGCTTTCTTGCCAAGAATGAAAAAGATTGTATTTTGCGGCATCGCTTAGCATAAAGCAGTTTAGCCTAGCATAACACTTAGCTTAGCAGTAAGACTGGAAATTAATTGAGCTCTGATCAAAATTGATAAAATCTACTCACAAATATCTATAAAAATCAATATTACTTCATGCAGAAGACAAAGCACATATCTGGCAAGTTGTGCTTTTGTGCTAAGCTAACCGCTAGCTATTGCCATATTAACCCTCTGAACTCCAATTTCATGCGTGGTTTTTGTTCCCGTCACACTTTTCCTGTCTGTGGGCTCATTTTTCACTCCAATAAAAGGTCCTGCTCCCCACAGAAACGGCACAACCATGAAGAAGGACTCACAAACGTCTTTGTTACGTAGGATGTAGAAAAACTAAAGCCACATGTATCTGCTTATACAAGAGATTTCACAATGCACAAAAAAAGCAAAAAAAAACTGGAATCAATATTTTTCCAAGTGGCCCCAAAAAAGGAAGTCCATATAGTGTAGATATTTTACTATTTAAATTCGTCATTGTCTCCATACGTGTCTCCTATCTGCCTTGGTTGAAAAATCTGAATTTTCGACCCTGTTGGTTGCAGCTAAGCTACGAGTAGCTTCCTGGAGGTGCCAAACTTCTCAGCAAGAAAGCAAATAACGTGTAGTCCACAAAATACCAAACGAATTCATTGCAAAGAATTTATACCTCATCTTCTACATGAAGCAGTGGATTAGAAACACAGGTAACACCGGCTGACGAAGACTGACATAAACATGAGGAGTCTTTATAAATGTTTACGACTGTTATGACTAATTTTTTATTTGGGTTATTAGTGTGGACAGGATCTGAGATGCTATAAAGCCGTCATAAACACAGCAAAGCCCAGTCATTGGACTTCAGGAAACTATTTAGCTTCATGTGTTTACATTGCAATAAACTGTCATATGGGGTTGTTGTTGATATTTGTTGTCATGAGACCATTATAGCTGTGTCATTAAATGTGACTTGATCTGGAGGGTGGTAGACTCTAAACTAGTCATCAAACCCTATTCAAATAACCCTAAACCCTCCCAACCCTGACCTTTGGTTAATGGCAAGTTATCATGACAAAGATTGATGCCCATTTTGCATTAGAAAGGACGTAACTGGGCCGCCGCTATAGCTCAACTGGTTGAACTGGCGACCCATGTACAGGGGCTATGGTCCCTGATGCAGCAGTCATGGGTTCAGTCCTGCTCATGGCCCTTTGCAAGTCCTTACCCCTTTCTTCTCTCCAAATTTCCTGTGTCTCTCTCAACTGTCCTATACAATAATGGCAAGAGGGCCAAAAAAATAACTTAAAAAAAAAAAAGAAAGGACATAACTGACAGAATAACACTGAATAATAACAACAGTCCTACACATGTATAGAAACGCTGACATGTGCATGACCCGTGTCAGGTCCGTGTTATGCACCAAACTGCAATATATGTCTCAGAAGCAAAGTGGATGCGCTTGTGTACCTCGGAATTGTGCCGAAGCACACTGCCTAAGAAATGTTCGTAGTTGCGTTTCCGCCGCTACAAACCTGCATCTTGCATATTGTCAGAAACACGTCTCCAGGTTGCACGGCAACAGCTGCACCTCTCACCTTTCGGACACAGCCCGACGCACGCGGCGCATTTCCTGACTCCGCCTTCTTCCACTTCGTATGTGTTGCCGCTGCACGTCCGCACACAGGCGCCATGGTCGGTCACGATGTAGTTATCTGGGGCGATGGCAAAATACAGGATATAGTTCAGTATTAACATCATATCAGAGTAGTACAAAGCATCTGGATGTAGGAAGACGAAGGAAAGTGTTCCTTCCAGCAGGACCATCTCGTGGTAGTTATACAACCAGATATGTAGGCCATACAATATAGGCTAGAGAGTAATACAGAGGCAGACTTGCGTAAGTTAAACTTGCAAAGAGCGGTTGTTGCATTAACACACCCTGAAACTCAATCATTTTCTTTCCCCTGTTGATAAAGTTTATAATTAAACTGTAGCCACTGAATGTTTAACAACCCTGAAGGACGACCTGGACGCTTGTTCAGGACACCACGACGTGAAAAAAGTTTACAATCACACATTCCATATTGCCAAATGAAGCTTTTATTTGTCTTGACTGTGGAGATATAATATTAAATATATCTGTGTCTAGAAGGACTGGAAGTTGATTAAAAAAAATTGGCTATAATACAAAAAAAAAACGTTTCTCTTACGTGGGCAGGTTTTGACACACGTGGCCCCGAAGTTGTACTTTCCAAACGGGTTGGGAACCAGCTGGTGCAGGTTGGGATCGTAGCGCATGAGGCCTGGGCAGGAGTCCTTACACACCCCGTCATCCTGGAAGTCCCGGCAGGCCTGCAGCACAAACAACAGTCATCTGGGACCAAAACAGAGCCCCACACTAATGATAACACTGCATTCCTCTATCACAGCCTTGGCTTAATCCTCAGAGCTGCATAGAGAGGGAGAGCAGACGCTGATGCTCCAGGCGCTGCCAAACCAAAGATTTAATCAGCAGATACATGTCTCATTGGTACTGAAACCAATAACAATATTTCTGATCATAAAAACAGATGCTGCTGAGAGGGAGCTTCGTTTTGTCGGAGGGTTCTCGTTTACGATTTAACGGAGTAGCATGAAATATTCAGCGTATTTGGCTGTTTAAGCTTGTTTTTACTGGTGCTGTCTTTGCCTCACCAGACAGTTGGTCGGTCTGGGTCCTGTGCATCCTGCGGCACAATGCTCGTAGCAGCAGTCGCTTGGTGAAGGTCCTCTGCATCTCTGAGAGCACTGCTGTGCACAGTTCAGCTTCGTTACTGGACAAGAAAACAGCACAAATTCAGCGGAGCGACCAGCAAGTCGTTCTTATGTTTTTGAAAACTGCACATCAGAATATTTTAACATGTTCACATGATGGAGCAGGTGCACAAAAGAGCTTCACCTTGCTGTTGTGTGTATGCAGTTTATAATTAATTAGCCTGTCATGTCAGGTGAATGCAAGAGAAACACACACCTACAGTGTTTGTGATATTGTTTCTTTAATGTTAGATGATTAAACATAAATTCAGGCCTTACACGTCTGACAGTTCTGAGGACCAGGAGCCCAACACGAACCATTGAAGCAGCTCGAGTCACATCTTCTACCTGTGAAGGCAGGTGAAAAGACACGTTGCAAAATGTTTAGCTCACCTCCGCCTTTAAACACCCAAAACGCAGACAGATGAACTAATTTTTCACTGTTTGTCTTCTGTTGTGAAACGTAATGCTTACATCGGGGGTTGTTGCTGGCAGCCGGGAGCAGCATCTTGGGCTTCTTGTCAGCACTGACGATATCAAACCACTGGATTGTTTCCACATTGCATAGCTTGTTGTTCTCAAACGATACACCTCCTTTTAGGATTTCTGAGATAGTCAGCAAAAGCTATGTGAGTCTGACGGATTTCTACAGTTATAAAAAATGACTGAGCTTTGTGGAGAAAGGTCTGTGACCCGGACCCACCTGTCAGGTTGGTCAGAAGAATCTCGCTGGTGGCCTGATCCGTTCCTTTCTCATAATTGGAAAGCACAGCAAGTGCAAACTCTCCCTCATAGAGGGTATGGCCTCGGACGATGCGCAGGTTCTCCAGAGAAATCCTGGGTGCTGTGTTGAGGGCGATCAGGACGTAGCCACCCACTTCTTCAATAGACTGTGGAACAAAAGGGGAATACCTGGCTGTGAATGAAAGAATGTGCAAAGGCAGCGGTTTTCTAACCGCAACAGTAAAACAGATCAGAATTAAATTTGAGCCTCTGTAAGGTTCTGTGTTTATGTGCATTTATATCAACCTGATGTCAGTTTCAGTGATAGATGTGTGGAAATGTGTTCTCTCTTACCTTTAAACTGATTTTAAAAACTAAAAAAAATAATAGTTTTAGGAGAACTTTAGAACAAATCATGTTTTTTTTTCTACAAGCAGTTGCACGAGTCGTTTTTTCAGCCCTGAGTTCTGTCTGCAGGTCTTCCTCGTGTAACAGGGTCAGTGTGCAGCAGCAGTTTTGTATTAAATATGCATGTATTGTTATATTAGTGATACATAATGTGCTATATATATATTTTAATTTACTGTTATTTTATTGTTATTACTTTCATTATTAGAATCACTCAACATCTGCTCTGTCCTATGGTTATGGTGTTGAACCTTCACCTGGGGGGTCCCAGTACCCCACATAGACTTGTGGTCACCCACCGTGTCCTATAAATGGGTTTTTCCTGCCTTACCTGTTATCTGTGTGTTTTCTAATGTACACAGTTTCACTTATAAGTTTACTTTCCTGGTTCTAATATGTTGTTCTGTCATGTCATTTCTGTAGCGGTACAAGTCGGCAACTGACGGCGGATTTTGTGTTTGTTTTTTGTCGTCTGTCAAGTTTCAGTAAACGGAGATCGCCTCCAAAGATGCTTCGGTTCATATCACACAACTCAGTGGAGAAACCACCGGCTACACTCAACAATAAAATGGTAAAATGGGGTTTTATGCATGTAGCTGGAAAGGTGATGAAAAAAAACAAACTTCATCAGCATATTGACATAAGTCCGAGCCTCCAACATCTGGATTATGACAGCTGGATCACAGAGAGAAGAATCAGAGTGCCACAAAGAGGATTTTTAAAAACATGATCCCTCCTTTTTATGATAAACTTAGAACTGCTGCATCATGTCTGCTGACTGTGTGTTATTGTGTGTTTGTGTGCTCGCCTGTGCGTGAGTGTGTGTGTGTGTGTGTGTGTGTGTGTGTGGTCCCTCATCACATCTGCCCGGTGTTCACAGCCTCGTCCTTACAGCTGGCGTCTAACCAGAGCATTATAAACACACTGACTCATCATAAGTTCTCACTCTCCGCTGATTTTAATTATGTGAGCTGCGGCGATATGAGCGGTGATGAGCCTGCAGAGATCCGGGACAGACTGTTCAGCAGACCGGCTTCGGACCACCAGAGAGACGACCTACAATAATAGGAACCTGCACCGATCTGCTGTGTGCGTGTTGGGCCTTAAACCGCTAACTGTTTGCAGTCTTTACCCGGAGGAAGGACAGGTCACGATGCTCCTCCATGTGGGTGACCTCCAGGTTCTCCAGGACCACGGTGCAGTTACTGTAGGTCTTCACCATGTTCACGTAGTGGTCGTCTTTAGTACCCAGGAGGTTTAGCCGGTTGCTGATGCCTTGGCATACTGCGGGAAAGACGAGAGGAGAATGGATTCATCTGGATGCTTATTTCAAACAGTTGAGCGTCTGAAACTGCAGCACAGTGTCACAAAGGCTCTAATCCGAGGCCCACAGTGCACAAGTACGACGCTGCTTATGTAACACACTGGCTCAATTTATGACTTGCTGCGTGTCTTTGTTCATGAGTTTGGTCTGTGCAGTCATAACTTGGCCAGCTTTCATGTGAAAATAACCGATCTGGGTTGCATCTCCAACAGAAATCAAATCTCAGCGACGAGGCGAGCTCTTGTTGTGAGTCAAAGTGAGTTAACTGTATTTATACTGGCACAGGCCTCAGTGTTTCCGCCGCTATGCAGCCTAGTTAAAACAGCCCCAGCATCTCCACTGTGGTATTCCAGAGAAAAGATCTGGTGTGTCACAGATTCCAGGAGGACTGGGAGAGCTCTTTATTGGGAATTCAGATCTGTGAATCTGATACCGAGCAGTCTCAATAACTTCAGCCTAGTTTAATCTGATTTTAGGGCCAATTTCTGTAATGACTCACTTTTTAGCTGCTCCAACAACAAAGCCATTAACAGGCGATACGCAGGACGACGGCGGCGCTGCTGCTGCTGCTTAGTGTTACACAACAAAACGTCCCAATAAGGAAGGAAGTAACACCGACAGGCAAAGAAGACACAAAAGGATTTCTTTTCTGAATGGATGTAGTTTTAAAGAAAAGAATGAGCGTCTTTGGAGAACAGGTCATCTTCCCCGGTGCATGTTCAGTCATCCTGAGCTGGTCGGACAGGTTCTGACTGGCAATAAAGAGGGAGTCTGTGGTGTAGAAAACCACCCAACACACACACAGCCACACACACACACACACACACACACACACTGTCTGCATGCACATAAAATTAAGCAAGTAATAGATTTTTTCCCCCCTTTTTTCAGTTCTAATTTATGGCTTAACTTGAGCAATATCTTAAGAAAAACAGGAGATTATTGGCCCTGTTTATTAGAAGTGATGGTGCTGCAGTAATGTCTAGGTCACATTCCACAACATGTCAGCTCTTGACTGCACAGAGCGCCAAACCATGCACTCGAAATTCTGAGACACACCTCACCACACACACAGCAGCCCATATAACTGTGCCGGGCCGTATCTGATTGGAAGAAAAAGAAACGGATCGTCTTTCAGCTCACTCCAAATTGCGTCGGGAGCCACACAATGCTTCACTTCCACTGTGCGTTTTTACCCCTCGCGTTGTGTTGAGTTCACACAGCAGCACTAAAAGGAACCTAATCAGGGAGAATTAGGCACAAACAGCTGTCTGCCGCCCTCCTTCTTCTTCTTCTTCCTCCTCATTAGCTTGTCCCTGAGGGATCTCCGCGACACGAACCCTGCAGTCCAGCAGCCCAACGCCCAGGCGAGCGGAGGCAGACGAGCAAAAGCGAGCGGACTGTTTTAATTAGAGGAGCCGTGCGAGATGTAATTAGCCTCCTAATTATTACTCAGACTGCGAAACCAAACTGTAATAAACAAAAGGTTGTCATGATTTTGCTGCTGTGAATATTAATAAACCTGATGTGAGCATTCCAGACGACAGTTTGCTAATAAGGTTTGGGATGAATGTGTTTGTCATTAGACTATATATATACTTTATATGTATATATAGTTCTTAACAAATGTATTAGACCACCTGTCCACCACTCAGCTCTCCACGTTTCACCGTTTTGAACAGGAAGGAGGAATTTTAATTCACCTTTTTATCCCCAAACCTGAGCAGCTCACTGGGCGCCTCTGACAAATTAATCAAGCATCACATTCAGCCACTAAAACTACATTTTTCTGTTCAGGAATGCAAGTAAATAACTATAATTTGACATCTTAATCAAGAAATAATAATGAGCTTTACTGTTTTTTTCTCTTTTTTTTTGTAAAATAGTACATTTTAAAATTCATGGATAACAGTAATAATTATATTATAATGATAAAAATGTAGTTAAATTTAATCTAGGGCAGCTGTGGTATAAACCTAGCATTGGGTGGTGATCTAATACATTCGTTAAGCGCTGTGTACATGTGTGTTTATGCTCCATATGCACACGTTCAGGCTGCTCCCAGTTCGAATGTTGTCGTCTGTTAGTAGTTATGATAAGCAGGATGAGGCAGGTGACCAAAGGTTCAACAAACTTCCTGCAACCGAAGCTCAGACTCTGAGTGCCAAACGATGATTGCACAAGCAGGCAGGCAAATAGCCACAGTAAACACTCTCCTTGTCCAGTTGTTGATTTCATAACTCCGGTGCAGGTGGTAAATGGCCTGATGTTTGACCATAAACCTGCTTCCTCGTCAGGCTGCTGCTCCAAGAGAAAGAAACTAGGTCAGGCTGGAGCAACACCAGAAGTTAAATCTGGAGGAGGGCTGAGTAACTCTGCCCCCGTTGTTCTTCCTACTCTTTAACAACACGACTCTCTCCAAATGGAAACGACTCCCGTAGACGTGATTTAGATGTGTCATAAAGACGTTTGCACAACTTGTGAGCTACCGTTGTGAGAGACGAACAGGTTAGTGAGTGTGCACGTTGCAACCGACCGGGGAGTGTGTTTTTCCGTATAAGCTGACTCAACATCGAATTTTCCAGCTTTCTTAAACGCAACTTGTTGTCTGTAGTCTGCCTAAACGCGAGGGCAAGGGTGGGGTTTCGGTGATGTAACTGATACTGTGACAAAGACTAATTGCCGATTGCTTCACGAACTCCAGCTGTATTGTCGTCACTAAATGTCCAGAAGGTAACTGCAGGAGAAAGGAGTGGCAGGTCTGGTGTATCTTATCCTCAGCACTGTGTGTGTGTGTGTGTGCGCGTGCATGTGTGTGTGTGTGTGTGTGTGTGTGGGTGTATTGGCATGTGTGTAAGCGTGCGACAGTGTGACTCGTACAAGACATTGCTTGGATTGAGCTGCGCTGATCAGCACCCAGTCAGAGCGAGACAAAAGACTCGATAAACCCGATCATTAGTCATCTAAGCTTGTTGCAATGTGCGGTCACATATCGCTCATTTGATGTTTACTCGGGGACTAGTGCTGGAAGTCAAGGGTGTGTGGGTAGATATTTGTTTCTTGAGGCTATAGGATCTGCCCGACTAAAGAAAAAGACGCTGCCTAAGCTTATTATGTGAGATAATTAGCTCATTGTTTCAGTCCAACATAAGCAAAGAGAATATACCGTATGGTACCAGGTGCATTCCTGTGTGTCTTCACTCACAGGCTCAAGCTGAGCATTCACATGCATGTGACAAGAGTCCGGGCTGGGAAGCTAGTATTAGTCTACAAGAGCAGGAAATTAAAGATAAATGTGCAAGTCTTGCTTTAAAGCTTGTGTCAACTTTCCTTTTCTTACAATACACACACTGAAAACTGTCACACTTTCTTTTTGATGCATCTTCAGCACATTCAAAGCAGCGAATTATTTGCACATTTAGAAACTCTGTGCAGTATCATGTTTTTTCTACAGAAGTCTTTTTCTACTTGCAAACAAATATGATTACATTCAACTTTAGTGTCATTGTCACAAGCACAAGACAACCAAATGCAGATGGCGTCTCACCAGAAGTGCATACGCAGTAACAATACACAGAAGTGTTTAGTATAAATATGGATCATGTACACGATGTACAGTGGTGCATGTTGTGCTCATTAAAAGGGGGGAAGGTTGTTCAGTGTGTGCAACAGTGCAACGGGAACGATTTACACGATACACAGAGTGTGAATGTACAGTAGTGCAACGGTAGATATTAATGGAAAATGTAATGCAATCATAGATAGACTAGATAAACACTTCTCTTTCAGTATTTGTACTCATGAAATAATCTCTGCAAGTGGAATATTACTATTTCTACATCCAGAGGAATCGGGCCAATCTAAACCAGAACTTGTTGTGATTTGTTTATTTTATTACTGATATTTTTTTAAATGAACAATCTCCCTTGCTGCTGTAATGACGGAGATGTACCCACTGTAGGATTAATAAAGGCTGATTGTTATCATTAAGCTGCAACCACATTTTATGCATTTTTGGTACTTTTCCTTTAAAAATTGTTCATTTACTGAAGGCCTGATGTACGGACTGCATTAATGCTATCGTTTGTGTTAGGACGTCCGTCTTCTTCATCACGAAAGCAGCGCTGGCACCAAACGGCGCAAAGTAAACCTCTTATTTCAACTTTGAAGATGAGAAACTTATTTTACGGAGAAACGAGGTACAAATAGAGCGGGATATATAACCAGAGTCACTGCAGACAATTTACAGTAAACATTGGAGACACATTAACTAAACATGGCGAGATCAAGTGTACGACGTTCAGGACCAAAACCAGCCAGAGGAAAAAAAGTCAACGTCTGCCATAAATTCACTTTCTCGGGTCTCATTTACGTGTTTGGATGAAACTTTGTAGTTTTCCTTTTGTAGAAACAGTGAGCGTCCACAAATGTGAGCCGTTTCCTATACATCTACAGGACATGGTTGTGCTTTATACCTTTCTACAGGCAACACAAATGTTCCTGCCTCTTCCTCTTCCTCTCTTTCACTACCTGTAATTCAATTATGCCGTGTCCAGAGTCCGATAATTACATTATCTGAAAACTTATACATGATTAAAGGGAAGTTGCAGCGCTTACTGACAGGGCTTGTTTGTTTCTCTCTCCACGTCAACAGCATTACAGCAAAACCTCTTATGTAAGTCAATCTGCAGCGTTCCTGCCCTGATAACAGATCGATGCCAAGATTAATTCCCTCATTTAGAGGTAAATTATGGTTAACCCCCTCATATATCTGGTAGGAGGACAGTGATAGGAAGGGGGAGGGAAAAGACACAATCTGCTTTTTATCAGTTTAAAGTCAGGGCTCCTCGGGGTAGCAGCGATCCCAACCCTTTGGATTTCAGGGAAGTATAAATCTCCCAAAGCCCTCTATCAGGGAATGAATGGAGGAAGAAAAAAAAGCTTCTTCCTTGATTCTTTC